TGTAGCGGGTCCAGGTCCATGTCCCAATGACACCAATACTGCGCCCCTCTTGACTTTCGGTCAGGGGCTCGCCAACGTCTTTACTTCAGGGGCCGACGGAGAGAGCTTCCGACCGTGAGTGACTGTGACTGCAGCTCGATTCTTGGAATACAACCGTATGCATGCAGCTTGAGATTTGGGTCCTGCAAGCACCCAAGAGGACGGTCACAGTGGGCCAGACGAGAAGCGAGAGGACGGGGAGGGGAGATGGTGGGACCAGGCTGGGAGATTATCACCTTTCCCCCACGGCGTGGGGGGACGTGGGATGTACACTCAAGACCAGGGCTGGCAAAGTCCACACAATTGCCTCGCCTGGCCTGACCTCCCACCGAGCACCAAACGTCCCACCGTTTTCGTGGCGTGCTTCCTTCAATTTCTACTGCATCCCACGTTGTCCGTGGTGTATGTCTCTATCCCGCGCGCCAGACCGACGCAATGTCCCCCCGCGTCCATGGCGGAGACCGATTTAAACATTCGTCGCTATCCCAAGCTCCTGCTCACCTCCACCCCTCCGTCCTTCCCCACGTAGCAAAACAAGCACCTCCCACGATCCCACGTTCCCGCGCTCATACGTCGTCTCGTTCCCCAGCAGCATTCCCTTGTCGGTGAAGGACGTGGGGAGACCTGGTAACAAGACGGATGTTCGTGACATGTTTCTTGTTAAATTGGGAGTGGACAGCGCGACACAGAACGACAGCCATGGAAGAGGCCGTGGGGATGTGCCCGTGGGATGTGATCGTGCGATGTGACCGTGGGCGTCAGGAGCAAATGGATGCATGTCGAGAGATCTTGAAAGACACACCCCTCCCACGCTTCGGTTCGAGCGCTGTTTTTCGTTCGTCTCTCCGTTGCCGTGCTGTGCGATACAAACAGAACAAGCGACGGACCAAGACCCGCGGCGACGGATGATGGCTCCGGAGCGGATATATGCAGCGGCCGCAGTTCCGTTTCATCCTTTGCTCCCGGTGTTTTTTTTTCTTTCCTGTGGCAATCTATGCTGTATGGCAGAAACACGCGCTGCACTCCAGATTGCAAGCTTCTTGACTGCCAGCGAAGAAAACAAAAGATAACAAGATAGCAGAAAGAAGCGGGCTTCCAAAGGTTCCGTTTGTGTAACGGAATGAGACAGCCAAGCAGCCATCTGCCAACGGGATGTGCCCGGATAACAAGCTGCGGCCACGGCAATATGTCGGGCAGAAAATAGAGTGCGAGAATGATCCCGCGGACACAAGACACTCACTGAAGAAGCACGAGAAGCACACGTATTACGGAGGGATCCTGTTAGGATGATCAAAGAAGTATGCCAGGCGTAAGATGTCGTGTCACTCGCCACTCTCCCCTTATCTCCCGGCAAGGAGTTTCCCTACTGCGGCCAGTTGCCTGCCCATCTCATATCTCCATATTGTCTCTGTAACGTTTCAAACGGCCTCGCTCATCGCTGTTACCATTGCCATCGGCAGGGGACGGAAGGGAAAAGGTTGATTACGGAGCACAAAATTACCCAGGATAGACTAGAGGGCTGTGCTGGGTGGTGACCGATGAGTTGTGTCTTGTGGTCAACGACTCACCAACAAACCCAGTAACCCGGGAATTTACGGCACAGTTTTGCCCATTTCTTCGCATCGCCTTTCTCGGATCATTCCAACACACACGCCCTGTGTCAGCTCGACACTGCGTTCGAGTTGTGCCTCCAAGTCACAAATGTCAGCATACAGTGTACATCTCAGTTTTTGGGCTGGGCCCAGAGGGGCGTGTGATTGACAGAAGCTGAAATGGCGGTGTCGAGTCGTTTACACGCGTGTCTGATTCGCTTTCTCTTCCTGACTTGCTCACCGTTTTTTGGGTGATTGGGCTGGCGATTGGAGGAGACGGCACAACACGATGAGGGAGGGGGATAGGGGGTTATGGGAGAAGACGGAAGAGATTGGGCGACAACAGTCTGGAGGAGACGGAGGGGTGAAAACAAGAAATGCGTGGGGGACAACGAAGAGGGGTATCGCGCAGGACTGGAAAACGGCGTACACCGACATATGAAGCGCAGTGTTGGGAACGTGGCCGAAAAGAAGACAAAGAAAGGAATGAAAATGAACATGAAATATAAAGAGAGAGAAAAAAAAAAGTGAGGTTCAGGAGAAAAGAAGAAACCAAACAAGCGCTGAGGTTGAGAGCCAAACGCTGACGCGGGACACGGTTGGGCAAACGGATTTGTCAACTGTTTTCATCTGACGACCGCGCAGCGTTTGGTTTCTTTTGTTTGCGATATCGGGTGGGTTGAAAGGGGTGAACAATTGTCGCGATGGTATTCCCACATCAGCAGGAGCAGCATGTCTTGAGAAAACACACCACATAGCACTTTCATCACAACCTTGGTCACAGTTTCACCTTCCACTGGTCACATCACAGACCATACAAAGCACACATCACACATTCACAAGCACCGGTGTGAAAAACCCGGTCGAATGCAACGACAAAACGGTCTGCAGCCTTTCTGGTGATGACTCTTCTTCGCGTGCATCAAAGCGGCACAACGGCCTTCGCACAGCCTGAACGCCACGCCCCTCCACTCCAACGATTGTATTCACTCTGTATTGACTCTGTTGGTAGTTGTTGTAAGGGCAGGGAATGGTGTTGGTTTAATTTCAAAAATAAAAGATTTGGGGTCTTGGTCTTACCAACTGCCATAATAGGGAGGAAGTAAGAAGAAGACCAATGACGAACGAAAGACGACAAGCAAAGGGTCGCTTTCTTCGCATTGAAAAACGACTCATCGTGGCCAAGCATAGTCATCACGGAAGCTTGGCCACGCTGACCAAAGAACGCCCACCTCGGCCAATCGTATTTCACATGGCAGACACTCTCGAGAAAGGCGTCGGCTGTACCAATTGGATGCTGAGAAAATATGACTGTCTCGTCAAACTGCTCACGGGGAGAAAAGAAAATAGGGTGCATGGCAGTGGCCTGCAATTGGATGAAATCGAACGGCCTGGTGACCAATAACCTGGCAAGACGTCCTGTCTCGCGTCTCCTTCGTCCCCCTCTGTCTGTCACGATGTGATCCGCTCATGATCCCCTCGAGCACCCCCTATCACCCCCTTTTCTCACACTCTATTTTATCACAATCACACACACCGAGAGATTGAGGGTGCCCTCCAGGAGTGGCAACGAGGCGCGTGTTTGGTTCGCGTCCCCGTTGGGGCAGGTCGGTGATGCGCTCAGTGCGCCCGTGCACCCCTGCACTCCCCGCGGTTGGTTTTCCTTTCTTGCAACGGATTTGGACGTCTGCTCCTTTATTGTGTGATGGAATCGCTCAAGACGCGACGGCCAAGTGATTGTCGAGGACTTTCGGTCTGTTTCTGAGCCATGGTCGGTAAACAGACTGGACAAGTAAGCGAGACGGGAAAGGATACAGCCTTAGACCCCTACAGGATGTCCTCCAGAGCAAAGTGCTTGAAAACGACCAAAAAAAAAAAGTTCAACTAAAGTTGAAAGGATGATCAACAAATAGACCAGGTGACGGGCCGCTGGGGGCCACCGCGGGGGCTAGGGAAGCGGGAGGGCGCGAGAGGCAGAAAGGGCTCATCACGCGCCCTGCGCAAAAGCGGTTCCCACCGCCTCCCCTCACTTATCCGTCTTCCCACCGCTCACAAGCCACCCCGTGCGGTAAAAATAGACACTCTGGGACAGCCAAAGAAGCAGTGCAGCCGGAAACAGACACTCGAACGGTAATGAATCGACAAATGGCCGAAAACGACTTAATGAGCCTTCCTTACTTGGAGCCTGTTGTTCGTACTATCGCGTGCAGGAACACAATATATTTGTGGACATCGTACTGCTGTCATGGTCCATTCGTATTTTGCGTCCTGTAGCTCGTATGTCTAAAAATAACCAAAGTCGCCAAGCAAGGAGATTCAATATCTTGGTACGACGTGTCTGTCGCGTTCGTCTTCCTCCGAAGGTGAGAGGTCCATTTCAGGGAGTCTAGAGGCAAAGAGGGTTATCTAGTATTAAGAGTGTTGTGCACGACTGTAGTCCCTTGATAACACAACTGTTTCAAACTCCGCTCCCTTTCCTCTCTACATAAGGCCAACCACGAGAGGGATCGGGCCTTCTTCAACGGTGCACGTTGGTGATAGAGGAGGATGCATCGCCATGAAGTGAGAACGACAAAGGGGATATTCCTTGTGTTCTGGCAATCTTTGCAGCTGAGGCCAGTAGTTTTCTTTGTAGAAACAGTCCAACAAAATGAAGGCATATTAAGATGGTAAAGCCGAAGACTCAGAGACGACACAGACCCCGTTTGATAGTATTTACTGGGAGGCTCGAGGGAAACGCCCGACCTAGGCATAAAGTCATCGTCGTAGGGAGGGCATAAGCACCGTGACGTTGACCGTCCAAGATGGGTGTTCTATAGCGATTTAAAATTATGTGCCGGTCACGATGGACTTCTATCATCAACAGAGCACCTAGTGAATTTGCTGCTTGATGCTTTTGGTTCGAGTCTGTGCTGCCATTTCCTTTCAGCTATGATGGACCGTTTTCCCGCTGAACGGATCGAGACCGTTACCACTTTATAATGGCAAGACAGGAAATGAGACGGTTACATAGCGAAAGCCGTGCTGCCAGCATTATGATATGAGAGTACACTATCGTTGCTCTGAGAGTCCACAGAGACATGGGATTATATTGTCTATATGCTCCAATCCGGTAGAGCGAGAGTATAAGGTGGCGACCCAAGCGCAGGCATATGCAGATGAGAAGGACAAGCAAAAAAACCAAAGAGCCAGGAGTAAATAAAACTGAACGAGACCGAAGTGAACGCCGCGCGTAATGAACAACAGCCCAAAATCAAAAAGGAAAGAAAGAAGCAACGACAGAAAGACAGAACGACACATAACACATGACGACGACAACATCCAACAGGTATAGAAATGAACAACACATAGCCCCCCACTCCACGCCGCTCAGCTCCGCAGAGACTCCAGCCTGTTGCGCATCTGCGCCATCATGGCCTCCGTGTCCTCCTCGTCCTCTTCGTCCTCGTCCCCGTTGGGGCCGCCCTCGGCAATGGCGACCTTGTTGCGCGCCACCGGCACAGCGGGTTCGGCGGCCGCCGCCGGTACGGGTGTTGTGCCGACGGGCGTCGACGGCAGCACCGGGCCTGTCGCGGCCATGCGGTCTTTCAGAATCTCGCTGAGCACCCGGTCGACCTCGCTGTCGGCCTCGGCCACGTCCTCGTCCTCGAACAGGGCGGCGTCGTCTTCGGGCAGCGTCTCGTTGACCATTTCCTCGACGATCCCGGCCTTCATGAGCTCCACGCTCAGCTCCTGCATCGTGCCCGCGAGCTCGGGCAGGCGGATCAGCTGGTTGACGTCGCGCATGACGCCGACGCTGGCGCGGATGGAACCCTCGATCTTGCGCATCGCAAAGGCCTCGCTGACCTGCATCTGGACGCTGTTGAGCTGAGCACGGCCGGTCACGAGGCGCGCCGACGTGCGGCGGGCACGCACGAGTTCGCGCGCAAAGTCACGGACCTCGCGTTGCGCCTGTTTGGCGCGGGAGGGATCACGCTGGGCGCGGCGGTCGGCCTGGATGATGAGATTTTTTGTCGTGATTTCGGCGCGCTTGGCATTGGCAATGTCGCGGTCGATTTTGCGCATGTTGGAGCGCAGGAGTGTGTTGCATTTCCGAAGCTACAAGACACAAGACACGCGCGTTTCGTTAGCAGATTGTTGCCGAGCAAAAAGACACCGCCGCAAAAGGATCGCAGCACTAATCAAAACTGCATACCTGTGCCTGCGGGTCAGGCTTCTGGAACAGGGCCCGGATGTTGTCCATTGTCGCCAATTGTACTTGTAGTGTGCGCCACCAGCAACATGCACCTTGATAGTGTTCTGGTAGTTCCTGTCCTCGTCGTCGTTGCCGCTCTCTGTTTACTTCTTCGTGATTGCTTGTCCCAGCCTCCTCCTCTGACGTGCTCCGTATGACCACGAGCGCAAACTGCGTGAGAAACCGCGAGTCGTACAATGGATAGAGTGTACCCTTGGTCCTTGAGACCTTTCTTGCGATGGGCGGAAAAGATGTCGTCGGGAATTCCTTTGGCGTAGAGTTTGGGGATTGACAAGGATCCCACTTGTTTGGCGTAGCCCTGGAAGAGGCACTGGAGCTGCGCAGTAGGGAGATGTAGCAGCGTTCGTTCGTATCCGGAGAGAGGGCTTGATCGGAATGCCCCTATGACGAAGTCCGGAGGAAGGCAATGCCTTGTTACCAAAGTCTGTGATTGCGGTCGTGATTGCGGTTGTGATTGTGGCGGTGGTCGGTTCAGAGGACGTTGGAATCACTGGAATGGGCGCTTGGCCTTGTTTGGTGACGTTCTTTCCGCGGGGCACTATTTGCGCCGCCTCTGGAAGGGCCGCTTCTGCCTTGCTCGGTGCGCACGTGCTGATAGCGATATGGCTGAACCGGCCCACAGAGTACCAATTAGCGCACAACATACAAGGCAGCCCAGAATATGCAAATGGGCGGGCACAAGGATGCGGCCGCATCGTTCTTTCTTGTGAGAACAAGTTTGCTGTTCGCGGAAGGCACGAGGGTTTGGGTAGTCCCCTTTTCCTTTGGACAAATACAATAGTTCACTTATATAATCCCGCATCTTGTTATTGTCTCGTGCTTAAGACAAGACTCTCTGAAATGATCCGGTTCGTTAATCTATTCAGAAACACCTGGCTCAGAGGCCTTTCGATACAATCCAGTCCCCGGCCACAGGTTTACAGTTGGATAGGATACCACAGATATATGGCTTTTGCCGTCCAACTTAATGCAAAAATAGCACTGATGTCGGATGCTCTCAGGCTCTTTTCACATATCAAGGTTCGCTTCTGTTCCTGGCTACTGTACTACATGGTACTCCACTGCCTATCACGTCGCACGGATGAGTGGTCGGAGTACAGCCCTTTCTATGGAGCCATCGCCTTTCGTGGGCTTGGTTGCGGGGCAGCCTACGTTGCTGGTTGGTTTTGCGCACTGTGAGGAATGTTGTCGAGGCCCTTAATCGCTCCTACTTTTCGCTCCCTGTTTTCTAGCTGGTCGTGCCCGCTCTGTGGGCGCCACTTGCCCTATAGGTACCAGGCGCAGCAAGCTGGCGGGTAAAATACTTGAGATGGCCCACCTGCGGGGCAGAGCTACGCGTACGCAGATGGCAGCTGCACAGTTCCAATATAAACGACATAGCATTATGGCACTGTATTGGGGACAGTGCGCCCGTTCCTCCTGCTTCTCTGGGTCCTCCTGCTCCAGTCTAGGTGAATCTTTGTGCTTCCTTGCACTTCCACCAACCTTCTGCCCCCCGCCCTCCTTCTCTCGCCCGCCCACAACGCACGCATTCGACCGCTCTCCTCAGCCAACAACGACCACCTGCGGCTCCACCATAGCAAACACTGCAAAAATCGTAAGCCACGGGCCATCATCGACAACCTCTGTTTGCCTCTTTTTTGCAACAAAAAGCGAACCTCATTGTATTCCTCTTCTTCTACTTACCAATTCTCAAAGTGTCGCCAGAAAACATCCCACCAGCTCGACCTGTTTCGTCCGCTACTTCTCGCATAGCTTTGCATCTTTCGCATTTCAGCTTTCGCTGCCACCCTATTTTCGCTTCACCATCGCCTCTCTCCGGTCGACGGCTTCCTTTTTCACCAAGCTCTGAGCTTATTAACTCACTTCTTCACCATGTCTGCCGAAACATACACCCCCGAGGGTAAGCTGTCCCATTCATGTCCCTGACCCCCCAGACTCCTTGAACCGGCCGATCACCCAAACGGCCATTGACGCGGAGAGCGGAAAGCGGAAAGGGGGCAGCAGAGAGTTGGCGACGTCACCGACGCTCCCCTCCTCCTTTTTTCCCGGCCGAAATGCAAAACTCCTTCGCGATGGCGCATTGGATTTGAGGATGCTCCTTTCTTGTTAAAAGCGCAACCGACACTGACATCCACGTCCCTCCAAAAACAGTCCTCTGGGCCCAGCGCTCCTCCAAGGATGACGCCGAGAAGAACTTCATCTACCTGACCATTGTCGTCCCTGATGCCGACCCCTCCCAAGCCGAGATCTCCCTCAAGCCCAGCAGTGTCTCTTTCAAGGGCTTCTCCAAGACCCTGAAGCGCACGTACCAGGTCACCCTCGACCTCTATGCCGAGATCGACGAGGCCGCCAGCAAGGTCAACCACACCTCCCGCTCCGTCGAGCTGAAGCTGGTCAAGAAGGAGCTCAAGGAGGAGTACTGGCCGCGCCTGCTCAAGGACGCCAAGAAGGTCCACTTCCTCAAGACCGACTTTGACAAGTGGGTCGACGAGGACGAGCAGGACGAGGCCCCCGCAGACGACTTCTCCCAGTTTGGCGGCATGGGTGGCATGGGCGGCATGGGCGGTGGCATGGGCGGCATGCCCGGTATGGGTGGTAAGTACAGTTGATCCCATGCGATTCCTGTATCCTGTGATGGTGATTGAGAAACACGGGCTAACCCCTAAACCACGCAGGCGACTTTGGCGGCATCGACTTCTCCAAGCTCGGCGGTGCCGGTGGCTTCGGTGGCGAGGAGGACGAGGGCGAGGAGGGCGCCGAGGGTGACGACGAGGGCGACGACGACGACGAAATGCCCGCCCTGGAGGGTGAGGAGGCTGCTGCTGAACCAGCAAAGTCGGCATAAATGGGTTACATGGTGATTTTGACCAAGGGCCTTTTATTGTTTCAGCACAGTGAAAAATTTAGGAAACGCGACGACCTATATTGTCAAAGAAAAACGGAAAGCCGGTAATCAAATTTTTTATGTTTATTTCGCCTGTTTTGTTTCTTAAGTGTCCGGTGTTAGGATATGTGGAAAAGAAGGCGTACAGAAAGGTGGGGGGACAATAGTTTTAAGACAGAGTGAGCAATGAGTAGAAATGGGAATGAGAGAAGCTCACAAATTTTACATCAATGTCATTCTGGGTGTCTGCTGTGGCCTAGTCATCTTCTCTGTCGTCACTTGCATGGGGCATATTGCTTTGTACTCGCGGTTTCCCCCAAAGTGAGGACCAAAATATCGCATACCGAATTCTCCGAATACGTATGCGTATTCAACTACGTTGGCATCACAACGTGTGTAAAGGGACGAGGACACTCCGCAGAAGCTGGTGTATATAACTTACCATCACGGCCACGGGCATAGCATTTACCCTCGAAAGCAAACTCTCCGCTCGTTTGGGAATATTCTTCACGTCTGTAGGAACAACAAATGGTGCTCATCCTCGGTAGCATTCTATGTAAGGAGCTGAATAAATAACACCGAAAAAGCAGAAACGCATAGCCCGAAAAGCAACAAGGGACGGAACAAAATTAAAAAAAAAAACCTGTCCTTCCCGTCCGAAATAAAAAATGTTTAGAAAAGACCAAATTAAAGAGATTTGTGATGTGTTGTCCTCCATTCTCTCAGCCCCAGTCCGGCTCCCATTCCAAACACTGTCGATATCCGGCTCATGGTCGGAACTGCTTCCGAATATGTCGCAAATACTTCTTTACATAATATCGTCGTCCATCGGGGCATCAGCGGTCGCTGCCGCAGGGGCAGCAGCAGCGGCGGCGGGAGCGGCGGCCGGGGCAGTAGCGCCGTTCGTGGCCGTGCCATTGCTAACAAAGTAGTCGGCCATCTCCGAGTCAAGCTCCTCGGCGGTCTTCTTAGCCGGGCGGGCGCTACGCGCACGACGACCCTGGCCGGGCTTCTTGTTGGCGTTGTTCTGGTTGTTGGCCTTCTGGTTGCTAGCTCCCTTGGCAGCGTTACCAGCACGCTTGTCAGTGGCGGCGGACTTGGGCTGTGCCTTGGGCTGCGTGATGCGCTGGCCCAGAGTCTTCGGCTGAGGGATAAGCTCGGCCTTGGCAACGACAACCTCGACCTACAATATCACAGTTAGTAAAGGTTTTGTAATGCTCGGTAGGGCTGTACCAAATTATTTTCTCACCTTCACAGCACGGTTGTCGATAAGCAGACCGTTCAGCTCAGAGAAAGCCTTGCTGGCGCCGTCGGCGTGGTGGAACACGACTGTGGCGATACCACGGCTGACGCCACCAGGGCCATACGACAGCTCGACTCTCTTGACCTGACCAACAGCCTGACCAAAGTAATCCTGTTCGCAGTGGTTAATTGATTAGTTCGAGGACATAAAATAGCAAGCTAGTCGAAATCTTGCATCATATCCATTGTCGTTCCAAATGATCGTCGCCAACAGGGTCCGGGTCTTGGTGTGCTGGATCCAGCCATAGCAATCATAATAGTCGAAAAGAGTGGCCTTCCGATATCTGATACCGATGGGGTCCGAAAGAGGAAAACATAAAACTTCGTCACCCGGAACAAAGGGTAAAGCAGAGCATAGCAGTGAGCGTAAAACAGCGAGATGGGCGGACATCCCTTCCGGGAATCAAAAGAAAACAGGTCCCGTGTAATTCGCCCTCAGAAATCTGACATAATCTCTCGAATTCGATGGGGCGAGGCGCATTCCAGCCATGTACCAACCAGCGGAACCTTTTGTCGTCGCAACCGTGCGGCCAGTTCGCGCAAACCTTCCTTGTTGAGCCATATCCCAGGCGACAGCGAAGTTCTGCGAAATGAAAGGGCCGCCATGTGGTGTGTCGGGTTTCCGAGCCGCTGTTAAGCCAGCTTTCTGAAAACCGTCATCCGAGATAAACGCGTACTGCCGCCATTGACTGTGCGTGCTTCCCTGCCACGCTGCCACAATCGCTGTTTATCTCTCAAACAACCTGTTGCTCTAAAAGGATCCGAGAGGTGCGATGATCGAAGGGATACACTTCGGATGTATCGGCAAAACCGAAAAAAAAAATGATAGGGAGCCCCCGTTGTCGCGCACTGCGTTTGCTTGCCAGGGAAAAGGAATGAGATCGGTTTTTTGGTGACCAGCCAAAACAAGACCATCCTTGCTCACACTGCCATGGAGGAGGTAGCACCGCAGACTATGTTGACAACATGTCAACAGCCAAAGATCTCCGTGTATTGCCAGCGCCGAAACAACTGTACATAGGGGAGCTTGCCAGGCTGCCTCAAGACGTGTTCGATACTTGCGCGGCAGGGATGATCTGATTGCTCGAAACTTCCAATACAAGCGACGGCCGCACAAATGGCGAAACAATCGATGGAAGGAGACTGACATGGCAGCGCGACGATTCGACTCTAGGACTTATGTGGAAATGCGAGATGAGCGCAACGGGCGCTTTGCAACATCTCTTAGGGCCGTTCGGACTTGGGAGTCGGAACAATAAACCCACTATCGGACAGGGAACAGACGCGACGACGACGTCGGTTGACGGAGCGATGGAAGATGTTGTCGAAAATTCCAAACGCGGAAAAACGGCCTCAGCGGAAACATACCTTGATCTGGGCCTCAGACACATCCTTGGGCTATCAAATATTAGTTGATTTGTGAAGGTGAGGACAAACGAAAGAAGGACAAAAGCCAAAACAGGCCACTGGGACAAAAGAGTCACGTACCAGGTTGCTGACCACAATCTTGCTCTCCCCGACAGCGCCCTGCGGCTTGGAAGGGGTAGACTTGTTGTTGCCACGAGTAGGCTTGGTGGTCTTCTGAACACCACCAGCAGGCGCCGGCTTGGCCGGGCCAGTCGAACGGCGAACAGAGCGACGGCGGTTGTTGCCAGCAGTCTTGCGCTGGTTCGACAGAATGTCGTCGAGCGACTGGTCGAGCTTGCTGGACATCTTGGGTGATGTGTTGGTGGGTGGCGGAAGAGAAGTTGGGAGAGAATTGGCAGAAGAAATGGCTCTTCGCAAACAACGAAGGGAGGGCTTGCGAAGCGCAGAGATCTCCTTCGGGATAAGAGCGAAATGAGCAGTCGACGGGAAAAGCGCGACGTGAAGCGATGGATAAAGTAAGACTGTTTACGAGCGGAAAAAATTGCGCTCGCGGCAGGGAAAGGTCTGGTTTGGCAGGGAAGAGAAAGGGAAAATGGAATGAAGGATAAAACAGTAGAAAGATAAAGGGGACTGTCGAAGTTGGCTGCAGTCGTGGGGTAAAGAAAGAAAAAAGGTCGTTTGCAGGTTGTGTTGATGGATGGAAGAGAGAGAAGTGAGAAAAGTGAGAGGAGCGACGAGACGAGAGAAAACGGAGGGCAGGAGCAAGGGAGGAGACCAGTCACGGGGTTTGTCGGCCTTAGGTGTTTTGGTAGGCAAAACTCAGGCCGCCCGAAAAGGGGCGAGTTCCTTCCTTACAGGAGGCAACAGGTAGGCATGGGTCTTTACGTTTTGAGGCTAACTGTATTTGGAATGACTCAGCAGACGTTCCTCGCTTCAGCCAGGGCGCCGGCAGCCAATAGCAATTGCTAGCGCAGCACCCTGGCTCCATGTGTGAGGCCTCGTCAGCGAAGAGCATCCAGTCGACAAGGTGATTCAGAGTATTGTACGACATGTATGCACATTGTCCACCATTGCGCACACGTATATATGGCACGGATCGGACATATCGTATAGATCCGAGCTGTTCAGAAAGTTCGCTCTTGATTATTGCGCGCCAAAAGAGAAAACAGAAAACAAATGTAGACGCCGTGCAGATATAATTACAACAACAAGTGTGCAAAATCCTTTTCATGGTCCCAAACTATCCTTTTCGTCCCCTACCCAAGCAAATGGTCGAATGCCTGTAAGCTGCGATGTGCCAGGGCAAGTAACACTCTTAGCGGAGCTTCGAGGTCCATCACTGCGCCTCCGTCCCTGCGGCGGCAACTGCCATGTTCCTCGTATGGATTGGCCGCTCTTCTCCGGCCGCTGGAGGTAGCACCTGCTGGCCGGCCATCAGTTCAATTTCGCCATCGTTTATCTTGACGCCTTGTTCGCTGCTTGTGTTTGTGCGCCGGTCTTGCCGCTCGGCGTCGAAGTCGGCTCCACCGCGTTGACTTCGAGGAAATGGTAGACGACGATAAGGACCATAGCTGCGATGCCGAGGAAGACGGCGAGATTGTACAGCTGGTCGTCGGTAATCATTGTGACGGTATTGAAGAGCGAACCGGTAGGAGTGGAGGTCGGATGAAGATTGCACAGGCTGGGGCAGCTTCAGCGACGTGTGGAACGGGAATCTGGTGGTGAGGAATTAATTAGCTTTCCAGTTGCCACTCAGAGGGGATTGAATTGGGGCTAAAATAGACCATACCGTACGATCGTTTGGGATGTGAGTAGAATGGGACTTGACGAAGTGGTGATGCAAGACGTAGCTTCATGGCATTGACGGCTTCCAGGGAAGGACAGCTTTCACGGCGCGATGAACTGGCTGTCCAGTGTTTGGGGGAAGTCCCACACGTGATCATAATTAGTCATCATAAACTATGGCAAATTTTGGTGCGGTTTGCCGTTCGTCATTTTTGCCTTTGCCCGCCAAGAGTCACTAAAAAATACCCCACGCTTGCAGTGTAGTTTTCTAGGCGAAAGACACTCCAGAATAAAAATTTAATGCCCCAAGACACTGCCAACATATAGGACGACGACGTACATTGACGACGACGGCCACAACGACGACCATCCCACTTATTCTTGGAATTCGACGATTACTTCAACCCTCTGGCTGGTGAAACGCGTCTTAGCACCGAGTTCTTTTTCTTTTGATTTTTTTTGCTCGTTTCTTTTGCGTCTATCATCATACATTCTTCACGATGCCGCCCAAGCGCAATGAGAAGGGCGGCGGCAAGGTCAAGCCGACGACGGCCAAGCTGGTGGACGACAAGACCTTTGGCATGAAGAACAAGAAGGGCGGTGCGGCGCAGAAACAGATTGCGCAGCTGACGTCTCAGATGAAGAGCAGCGGCAACCCGGAGCAGAAGCGCAAAGAGGCCGAGAAGATGGCACGCGAGCGCGAGAAGAAGGCGGCCGAGGAGGCACGTCGCGAGACGGAGATGCTGACGAAGACGGTGCAGGTCCAAAAGGTGCCCTTCGGCGTGGATCCCAAGACGGTGGTGTGTATCTTCTTCAAGAAGGGCAACTGCGACAAGGGAAAGAAGTGCAAGTTCTCGCACGACCTGGAGGTGGAGCGCAAGACGGAGAAGCGCAGTCTTTACACGGATACACGGGAAGAAGACGAAGCAGAAGCGAAGAAGAAGGAGACATCGGCCGACTGGGACGAGGAGAAGCTGCGGTCGGTGGTCATGTCGAAAAAGGGCAACCAGCGGACGACGACGGACAAGGTCTGCAAATACTTTATCGAGGCCATCGAAGACGGCAAATACGGCTGGTTTTGGATCTGCCCCAACGGCGGCGACAAGTGCATGTACAAGCACGCTCTGCCACCAGGGTACGTCATCTTTCCTTCTCTGCCATCGACAATGATTTCGGTTGCGTTCTCCCTGTGCTAACTAAACAGATTCGTCCTCAAGACCAAGGAACAGCGCGCCGCCGAGAAGGCCCTGCTCGACAAGTCCCCCCTCAAGACCCTCACCCTCGAAGAATTCTTGGAATCCGAGCGCCATAAGCTTGTGGGCCCGTCGACGCCTGTCACGCCCGAGACATTTGCCAAGTGGAAGAAGGACCGTCTGGACAAGAAGGCGGCTGAGGAACAGGCCCGCAAGGCCAAGGAGGCGACCGGTCGTGCCCTGTTTGAGAGTGGCAACTGGCGGATGGACAGCGACGACGAGGCATCGTCCTCCGACGACGAGGGCGACAACGACACCAACGGCGACGCCTGGAACTTGGAGAAGATGCGGCAAGAGACCGAGGCTCTGCGGCAAAAGAAGGAGGACGAGCGCTTGGCAAGCCTGGCTGGCGTGCCTGTCGCCCCCGATGCTGGTGCTTCTGCAGAGGCAGCTGCTGCCGAGGCAGACACATGAACGACCCTTACCGTGGGGTGGTCTTTATGGAGACGCCGTGGTTCTTTCCTTACCGGAGAGATAGCGGGACCAAAGCTACGAGACAGAGCTGCGGCAGGGTTGGTATCCACCATCTGATGTCTGTCCTTCTTGGAGGGCTACCGTCGCTCGCCTGTCTTGTGTTCCGCCGACTGTTGATCGACAGGGCCACACAGAAACATTAATTGCCGATTCGAATGTACGACACGATGACGGACTGCAGCGTTCTTGATGAAAAAGCATTTGTGGCAGCAGTGATGGGAATCATAACGCAGGACTGTGCAACCACTTGCGGGTATGGGAAAAATATTATATCATGGCATATCATGTGGACGGGCAACAAAGGAATCCCAATTCACGGTGCCGGGCGTTTTATCGAGTCTTTTATATTTTTCGTCTGTTCTATATACTACGCTTTCCTTCACCTCGTTATGTCGAGGCGCGAGATTACGGTTGTCTAGAATGGCACATTGGCCGACATCTAGACGCAATAAGCGAACATGTAGAATCTTGGTAGCATTGAGACGTCGTCGTTTGTTTTCCTTGGCTGCGAGAATTAAATACAGCAACCGATCTTAGTAACCCATATGAGCAACCCATCTGAACTAGTGTTCCTCAAAAGGTGATCCTAAACCGTTATTGTAATACCATTTTGCATATTTATCCAGGAGCAAGTAGCTTCACTATCAGCCTCACTATCCATGCTCTTCGGTTCAGCACAGCCATGTACGCCTGCCTCTCTTAGAACTTCTCCACATACGGGCGGAGATCGATCTCCTGTGTGAAGCCTGACCGATGCTGCGTGTGCAAGTGCCAATACTCGTCGGCAATCTGTCTTGTTAGCTGTGCTCTCATCATTCGACATGCGTCAATGGCCTTCTCTTTGAGATGACTTACCGCATCTGGGCTCAGCTTGCCGTCCGGCGCGCCGCCATTGACGTTGTAGCCCTTGGTCCGCGGGATGTCGATGACAGCGTCAATGATGGCGTGTGCCACATGCACACCCTGCGGGTGAAATTCGCGAGCCAGCGACTGGGCCAGCCCGCGCTTGGCAAACTTGCCGGCCGCAAAGCCCGAGAAGAAGGCGCTGCCGCGCGTCGACGCCGTAGCGCCCGTCACGAGCAGTGTCGGCGGGTTCGGCGAGTCGGGCACAGACTTGAGGAGCAGAGGCAGGGCGCTCTTCGCAAAGAGGTAGAGACCGCGACTACGAGTGTCAATGCCAATAACTACATGTGCAACAGGGGGCCTGTGAGGCGGACTCACGGATTTGATGCGAGGGACGCGTCGAGATCTTCAAGGGCCGTCTCCAGGAACGGCTTGCGCCCGCCGAAACCGCCGCTGACGTTGTAGATGGCAGCCGCGAGTCCGGCGCCGGCAAAGCCGTCAGTCTTCTGGATCTCGGTAAACGCATTCTCCACCGACGCCTGCTCCGTCACGTCCGTCGTGATACCGACAGCCTTGCCGCCAGCGTCGTTGATCTCCTTGACAATATCCTGATAGCTCTCAGGCTTGCGGGCCAGGAGGGCCACGGGGTAGGTCTTGGCGAATTTGAGGGCGACTGAGCGGCCAGTACCCGCGCCGACGCCAGCAATGACTGCGTAGAAGCTCTTGGTGGCCATTGTTGTAGCTTGGCTGTACTTGTGTTTGTGGTTGTGTTTGTAGTTGTGGATTTGGATTGGAAGGCAAGGGTAGTGATTGAGATTCGGGATGTGCGTGGATGGACGGCGGTCTTATATTCTAAACACCAAACGGGGAAGTGATCATTAATCAATATGCAAGGCAGAGACGGGGTTGACGATGCGATCAAATCGAAGCTCTAGGTCTTTTCCGGTCGGGTCGCTCTTTCCTTTATATGCTGCTGTCTGGATCACGAATTACTAATGGATAATGCCATTTTCGGTCGAATGTTCACAATTGGGTACATATGTATCACGTCTACTGGCTGTGTGCACAGCTCTTTGAGCATGTACCACAGGCCCAGTAGTCCACGGCTGTACGATGCTGATTCGGCGAAGACACCATCGCCCTGCAAAATGTCGAACTTTGGGGAAGCTTGTTAGAACGGCGGAGGCGACAAAATGGTGGCAGAATCTCCCGAACTGACAAATGCGATGGCGGGGCATTTACAAGGTGCTGATGCGACAGAAGGAGCGATTGGTAGTCTTGGAGCTAGTCCTAATCCAGCAGTTAACTGGCCCGTGCGCTAGTGCACCCTTTCCTGCGGTTTGCGCCTTGTGTGTGGGAAACACGCGACTTCACAGCCATCGCATCTTCTGCAAACTGTAACGCCTAAAAGCCACCGCGTTGCATGAACATTGGCGAATATCCATCACCCACCCCCGATCACATGAAAGGTAGTAATGCACACCGCGTGTGCCTGATCATGCAAGTGAGCCTAGCCTCGCTGACTCATGAAAGCAGACCTACAGCAATTAAGTGGTAGCCATCTTAAGTGATGACAGATCACAGAGCTTGAGATGCATTCTGCGCTGATATCACAGGCATAGCAGCCGCTCTTTATCCATATCTTCTGGATATAGTGACTGCAGTGCTCTTCACGACGAGTGGATATGCCCCTTGAACCGGCAGGCCCGCCACGCAGAGCGGGCCCCCGGCAAACAGACCTCAATACATGGATGGGTCTGCGTGCACAGAGGCCGGCCAACACTCCTGTCCCGATACCGGCTCCGGGGCCAGTACCATTTATGACTGGACGATACAACCCGCCTGCTGCGGCCTCCCCAGATTTCGATGCTGCCCCGCCGAGGAAGTACTATGGCGCCGGCAACAACGGCCGCGGTGACGACGGCCAGGCCGAATTTTCCCAACAACTGCTTAACCACCAGCACCGCTCTATATCGCCGCCCACATCACAAGCAGGCCTTCGAGACAATGACGGAAGCGCCCGGGACAGACGGAGAGGGCCACCTTCGCACAGTGCGCTGCGCCAGCCGCCAAGTATGCCACAACCTACATTGCCGAACCGCCCGCCCCGAATAGGACAACCCGGCACGGCGGGCTCGTCGGCCATGGATATTGACGAGCTTGCCAACACGGACGAGGACGTCGAAGAGTTAGATGTACTCCCGCTCGTCATGTCGGACCTGGACCCTCGGTACGCAGAAAAGGTCACCACGCCCAAAACATCACCGCCGCAGCCCTCTCAACCTACAACACCTCCTAAGGCCAACGGCCACAGCAAGGCTTCCACAACAACGCCTTTAAGACAGCCGGTGGTCAGTATTCCTTTGCCCGCCTCTGCGCCCTCTGTACATGGACCCCAACAACATACGCCAGTCCAGAAGACACCTATGACGGTGCTCGCATCCTTACCATCACTTTACACGCCTAAAGCTGGCGGCAGCGTGCCGGCACCACCGCCAGCAACAAAATTAGCAACAGAATCAGCCACAGAATCAGCAACGGGAACAGAATCCAAGAACCTGTCGCCCGTCGTCGCCGTGGGGCGGCGCTCCAATGCCATGCTCGCCGTGCGCGTCAAGGGCCGACCCAAGGGCTGGAAGCCCGGGATGACCTACCGAGAGGTGGCCCTACGGAATGCGGGCGTCGATCCCAACGACCCGTCCGTGCCGCCAGAAATTCTTTTGCCGCCACGCCCCCGGAAAACAGGGCGATCACCAGGCCGGCCGCGACTGCCAGGAGGTCCGCGACCGAAGCCCAGCCAGGGCGCATTTGGCTTCAAGCGCGTTGGTCGCCCGCCGATCCAGCCCATTGAGGTGGCTCAGCGTTCCATCTTCTGCAATGGTCAGGCGTGCTTTGCGCCGTTCGTCTGTGAGTGGACCGGATGCCGGGCCGAGCTGCACAACATGGCTACGCTGCGCAAGCATGTCACGGTCGTACACGGGCGACCAACCGGGGCGGCCAATACATGCCAGTGGCGACGCTGCGCCGACCGCCAGACCGTACCCACGCGGTACAAGGACGACACCGACACCGACGCAGATGGACAGACATTACTCGAGCACGTTGAATACCAACACCTGGCGCCGTTGGAGTGGCACCGGGGCGATGGGTTTGTCAACAATGGCCACATAGGGCCGCCCCCGCCGCCAGCGGCAGCCATGCTGCTGTCCAAGGCGAGGACAATGGACAATTTGCAAGCGAAGACGGAAAACGACGACAACAAACCTCTTGCAGCAGACACGCGTCTTCTGAACAAGGCGCCGGAAGTTGTCCTATACGGCGTTCCACCGGACGACCTGCCGCCGTATCTTTTGGACGACAAGGGCAAGCAGGTGACGCCACTGCTCCGCGACGGTCTCTTGGAAGCATCAACCTTCTTTTGGACACATGAACAGCGCGGGCGGCGGCTTAAAGAGCTGTATCGGCAACACCAGCAAAATATAAACAAACGGCCGGACCGGGAGCTCAGCCGTTTGGTTTAGTGACTATGGAGACGAGAAGAACTCTTTTGACTATGTATCATCCAATGTATTACCTACGGCACACACAGTGGAAGGAAAACAAACGGAAATAGGGCGGCAACGTTCTTTTGTATTAGAGAAACATAAAGCAAACGTGATACACTTTGGAAGTGCGGCAGTTTACAATCGGATATGCCGCTAAACATTGTGATAGAGAAGGATACCCACACGGACCGCTGTACTTCTGCAGGGCTGGACATAGAATGGCGGTGAATTGGGGTTTGGTATTATGATGCTCCTTGAGATAGAAGACAGAGAAGCAAACAGTGTTTTGACGCCAGAGTGTTGATTGCTCCACGGCGTATTATTTTCTTGGCAGCATTTTTTTTTTAAAATTAAAATAAAAAATAAAATAAAACCTATTATGTTATTATGCCCGTTAGAAATGGACAGGCAATTTCTAGAGCGTTCTTCCGTCTACACGGATCGACGCAGGGGGCATTTGTCGGTTTGCATGAGCACTGACAGGATCACCCATGGGGCAAAAACGAGCATCTATAAATCCTACGACCATTATGGCAAACAGAAAGGCCAGCGACTCTTACGAGTTTGCGGTCAGACTCGTTTCCCCCGATCTCTCCGGCAAAATGCTAGAGCTTGTCGTTTGTGTCTAAGCTTGTCGTTCTTATCTGGCTGAACGGCGGCCTCTGAAGTTGTCAGGAAAAAAGTGCGGTGGTAGTTGAAAACAGGACACAACAGCTTTTCTTTTGAGTTGCACGGTAAACTGACGTCATGTGGAGATGGGTGGACAGGAGCCAGATACAATTTGGGAGAACAAACATGACAAGATCGAACAAATAAGAATCGCATGCAAAATAAAAATAGAAACGGCGGGACACTGTGGGAAACTGTGGGTTCCCGGTGCTTCCAGCGTTTTATTTCACCTCCCCTGGTTCGCCTGCAGTGGAAGCTGCCAGGCTCGTCACCTCGAACTGTCGGCGTCGGATGTCACGGTCGTCTCTTCATTCGCTTTGGGGCCACCGACTACCAACCAGGGATTGCCCAGCGCGCATCATCACCGCCGGTCGAGAAAGGAGCAGAGGAGAGAAAGATGGACTCCTTTACGGCTGCCTGGGCTTACGAAGCCGGCTGCATTGATGATGCTTGCCTGTGTCAGAGTCCCAAGCATGGACGACGGCGATGACAGGCCGAGTGTATCAACCCACCGTTGGGATATCAACGAGATGAGTTGTGATTTTGACGGAATCAGGGGTAAAGGGGCCTTTTCGATCGTTGAAGTGTGCATTTGTAAGCTAGGGCCTGGGCCAGCCGGGAAAGACCCGGTGTTTTTTGCGTCTGGAGACGTTGTCCCATGCACTCACGCATTCACACCATCTATGTGAGGAGTGGAACCCAGAAAGAAAAGAGGCCCGCAAGTCCGTTTCGAGAGAAAGAAGGCCAGGCCACGCCAATGGCCTGGACCCAGAATGGGCGTGTGGGGGGAAAAGGAGGCACAGCACGTTGCTAGCGGCTTGGGTGGGCTCCTCGCGGATATGGTTCTCGCCCAGAAGGGGTATATCGGATGCCCGCGTTAAAGGGCCTGCAGCATGCGCAGGTTGCGACGAGGGGGACTGGAGGTAAAGAAAATACGTTGAACGCGACGAGGGACGTAGGAACAAAGCACTATAGTAAACTTGAAGGAGTTGAGCCAATCAAGGGCGCAAAGAGATGGCCGAAACACAGAATAGGATTGTTGTCCGTGTTTGGAAGGTGCGCTGTGTCGCGCGGGGAAGCTGTCGAAAAGGTGGAGGGCAAAACAGCCGATGACAGGGGCGCTGTTTCCTTGGAAGCGTCTTGTAAGAGAGTCGCCGGAAGCTACGATGGACTGACCGACCGACTAGGCTCTCCGCTCTTCTCCGCGATAACCCTTCTTTTGCAATTAGGGAAAGTCCATGTGCAAGTTGTCTGGCCGCGCCGACGTCCCACCATTGGACGGTCAATGAAAGAGGGCAAACATATCATGCCAATGCAGGTAGTAGCATTGCACGCAGACAGGAGCCAGCCCGGAATGGCAGCCAAGGATGGAGGAATCCTGTCGCCTCGGAGGAGAACATTCCTGCCGTCGCTGACGAACTCTGGCTAAAACAGCGGCGCGAGACCACGGCTACCTGTCTGCCGGTCTGCCGGTCTGCTTCCGTCGTGCTTGGGAATGTCGCTGGGTCAAAAGCAGACAGCAACGGCATTGGGATGGGGGAGCCTGATCGCAACAAGGAGTGCGGCGAGCATCCAATGCGAGAGATTACCAATTCGTTCCTTCCGTCGGCCGGGCGCTTGTTCGCCCCTTCTCAGCCCTCAGCCTCTCAGGCAGTGGCCGTCAGCCCGTCACATTTGCTTCCTTCCGTTTGTAGTCTTGCATCCCCTCGCATTCCCACTCTCTTTCCGTCCCTGGTCTCGCATGCTTTGGACGTCTTTCCTCACCAGCACGAGGCATCCTATCGCCCTTTGCACTCGCAAGACTGCGACATAGAGTTAAGGATCCTAAACTGTCGCTCTAGCATGGTCTCTCTGGGCATCACCAGTCCCATCTCGTCCCTGGGAAAACACGCTAGCGACTCCTTTTCGAGTCTGGCCCCAGGCAATAGCGACCCGTCTCGCCCGTCGGTAATAGTGATCATGCTAACGTGCTTTTGGTGGCAGCCAAACCGAAAATAACTGAAAATAACGCTCCACAGTGCGTCGCAATACACTGTGACCAAAAGGCGTGCTCTCATCCAATTGCCTGGAACGAACCATCGCCATCGTCGCTACACTGTCTCTGGCCCCATAATACTGATACGGGTTCCACTGCGATCTATGTTCGTTCGCCGCACAAAGTGGGCCTTTGATGCCTGCAAAAGTTCCTTCAAACGCCCCTGCCACCACTAAATCCACCACTAAATCCACCACTAAATCCACACTGAACAGCACCAAAGCCAGCAGTTGTGCCAGAGCCAACCACCAACTCCAGCACCAGCCGCAGTCACCTTTCCCAGCGCAATTACCAACCGTCAGCACTGCCTTCCCGTCCTGTTCTATCCCTCACCCTCACATCAACATCTGGCTCACCTCTTCCTCCTCATTATTCTCCTCCCAACCCCCAACGACAACGACCAACGTCGCACCGATTGTCTTGCATATCAACCCTGCGTTATTGACCGACTCGTTTTTGCTGCCTTCTTTTCGTCACAAGGCTGCGTTTCCGAGTTGTCGATTCATTCTCTCTGTCGGCAATCGCTTGGACGTCAACGCTCGCATCCTTGACCAGTTGTCTGTCTTGGCTTCGTCTCTCCAGGCTCGCATCCTGCAACGCCGTCGTCCCTTGCCCACATTGGACGATCGACGCACCCGACCGCTCGCTTCCCGATCGCCCTGCCGCCTTTGTCTTGACGCCGTCACCACCCGGTCCCCCTCTCCGACAGCAAAACTGGCGCGCACGACATGGCCCAGGCGCTATGAGAACGGCGCCGCTCCTACAATGCCGTCCCTCAACGCCAAGTCCGTCATTGGCGGCATCACCAACAACAGCAACAACAACAGCAATACCAACAACAATAGCAGCGGAAACGGCAACAGCCACTTCCCCCAAAAACTGAAGAACTTCTTCCGCATCAACAACTCCGCCGACGGCAACAGCAGCAGTGGTAGCCATACCAGCGAAAAAGCTGGTATTCTCTCGCTCCGCACCGACAATACCGTTAGTGGCGGCAACAGCAACGGAATTGGCAAGACCGGGTTCCGCCAGTCCAAGTTCTTTTCTGTCGGCCGCCTCCGGTCCCAGACCGTCGCCAGCGAAGGCAACATCCTCGAAGAGTCTCTGAGCCCGACGGCCCTCGCGAACCCCTACTTTGCCCACCAGGGCCAGCCCGGTATTCGCCATCACAATGAAGGCTCGCAGCCGCCGAGCCCACCAGACACCCCGAGCCTAAAGGTGCTAGCCGCCGACGGCGCTGGCAGCCCCGGTGCGGGCTCCGCTGCGGTTGCGGCCACGGCCGCAGCCAACGGCGAGCGCACCACGACCGCCTCCAAAGAAGAGCTGGCTCGCAAGCTGCGCCGCGTTGCCAGTGCCCCCAATGCTCAAGGCCTGTTTGCCAAGGGCGCGGCGGCCGCCAACGCTGTGGCCAACGGCGGCCCCATCCCCTCCTCGGGCCTCGGGAACAACGGCTTCATCGTGGGCGGCAGGGACAGCGACGAGCGCCCACACACGGCCGAGCTTGGCAAGGATCCCGTCCTCATGACAAAAAACGCGAGCGGCCTGAGCCTGGTCGATGCCAAGAAGCTGGCGGCCGCGTCGGGTGTCGTCGGCGTCAGTGCGCTGGCCAGCAGCCCGGCGCTGGTCGAGGACCTTGCCAATGGCACTGCGGGCGGCGTTCTTGTCGACAAGGACGAGCTGGGCGCGCTGCCGCCACCGGGCCGCTCGCCGCTCGCTTTTCGAAGAACATACAGCTCCAACTCGATCAAGGTCCGCGACGTCGAGGTCGGCCCGCAGAGTTTCGACAAGATCAAGCTCATTGGCAAAGGCGACGTCGGCAAGGTCTACCTTGTCCGCGAGAAGAAGAGCAGTCGCCTCTATGCAATGAAGGGTGCGTTGTCTCCCCCGTTACGGTGTCTGTCTTCACGTTCGGTCCCATACTGACTTTGGTGTAGTTCTGAGCAAAAAGGAAATGATCAAGCGCAACAAGATCAAGCGCGCCCTCGCCGAGCAAGAGATTCTGGCCACCAGCAACCACCCCTTCATTGTCACCCTCTACCACTCGTTCCAATCCGAAGACTACCTCTACTTGTGCATGGAATACTGCAGCGGCGGCGAGTTCTTCCGCGCACTGCAGACCCGCCCGGGCAAGTGCATTCCCGAGGACGATGCACGCTTCTACGCGGCCGAGGTCACAGCGGCCCTCGAGTACCTCCACCTGATGGGGTTCATCTACCGCGATCTGAAGCCAGAGAGTATGTCCCGCGTTGACCCTCGCTTTCTCTCCATCACTGCTTACCTGCACATGCTGACCATGAGCTCTAGACATTCTACTGCACCAGTCTGGCCACATTATGCTGTCTGATTTCGACCTCTCAAAACAGTCCGACATCGGCGGCAAGCCCACCATGATTATCGGCAAGAACGGCGCCAGCACGTCGTCTCTCCCGACAATCGATACCAAATCGTGCATCGCTAACTTCCGCACCAACTCGTTCGTCGGCACCGAGGAATACATTGCCCCCGAAGTGATCAAGGGCAGTGGCCATACCAGCGCGGTCGACTGGTGGACCCTGGGCATTCTGATCTACGAAATGCTCTACGGCACAACGCCCTTCAAGGGTAAGAACCGGAACGCGACGTTCGCCAACATCCTGCGGGAAGAAATCCCCTTCCCCGACCACGCAGGCGCTCCGCAGATTTCCAAGTAGGTTCAAACACGTCGTCGTCCCTGCGTCATAGTATTCACATGTTGAAGTCATACTAATCACATCCCTAGTCTCTGCAAGTCTTTGATTCGGAAGCTTCTGATCAAGGACGAGAACCGGCGCCTGGGCGCCCGTGCCGGTGCATCCGACATCAAGGTGCACCCCTTCTTCCGCACCACGCAGTGGGCCCTGATCCGTCACATGAAGCCCCCGATCGTCCCCAACCAAGGCAAGGCCATCGATACCCTCAACTTCCGTAACGTCAAGGAGAGCGAGAGCGTCGACATCAGCGGCTCGCGACCCATGAAACTCAAGGGCGTGCCCCTCGACAGTGGCCTTTCGACGCCGGGTAACGAGGTCGTTGATCCCTTTGAGGAATTCAACAGTGTCACACTACATCACGACGGTGACGACAACAGCTACGGAAGGTGACAGAAGTAAGAGAAGGAAGAGGAGGTTAGAGATGCAACGAGGAGGGCACGAGCAGAGTCGGAGACGTGTCCGTCCTGTTTCGTGAGGTTGAGTTCGTCGTTCCATTTGTCTTGGCATATACGGCATCACTCTCCGATTTGATGTGCTTGTGCTTGTTTTTCCGGCCCTGTACAGATTTTGTTGTTTTCCTGTCTTTTGTCATGCCCTTGCCTGCGCCATAAATCTGTGTTTTGTGTTCTGTTTTCTTCGCGCATGTTTACCGGACGCGCTGCATTTGACTGTTTTTGGGACGGCTGATGCGTTTGTATTTCTTTTCTTTCTTACAACTTTGCATTTTTCATTCTGCATCATTTCTCAAATGCCATTCCCCTCCTTCCGCAGGGGGTGTATTTTCAGCGTCTTCTCCTTCATATTTTTTTCATTGTTGCTTTAGGTGCGTGGATGCTGTGAAGGAGCTGTCTACTAGGAGCAGCCGAAATATGAGGAGAAAAGAAAAACTCTTTTGACTGCACATGGTTTTCGTCTTCAAGCTGTCCGCGTTGCGCCCATTTTTTCGCTTACAAGAATAGCCGTAGGAGGTAGCAGGGGAGGTGATACATGTCTCTATTTTGATACAGTAGTGTTTCCTCAAAAATTACATCAATTTTCAATGTTTTTGAGACCAGCTGTGTTGGATCTCGATTTTGAAGACGGGTAACAAGTGAGGTCCAATTTCTTTACAACGTGGTGCGTACAGAGCTGGTCATAACGGTCGCCCATCAAGGACAACGCCTTCCGTATGGAGTTCCCTTAGACTGCCTTCATGTACCGATCGTGGCTGCCAGTATATTCTAACGATGAAAGGAGCATTTTCGGGAAAGAACAGATGAATTTTGGGCAGTAACAAGGCATCAGCTCAATTGCACTTTCTGGTTGCGTAGCAGACATTACTTTCTACAACATCTGTGTGGGAAAGAGCGACCTGGCACTTGCTCTTCTAAATTGGTGGGAAAGTATTGTAAACCAAGCAGCCGTCTTATGGACGCACCGGTACGGCGGAAAAGAGTTGCTAATATTGACTGTCTAAAATGACGGTCTTATTTGATATACGCCTTGTATGCATTTTATGGATTTGTGCTCCTTGATCGACTCAACGTGCAGGGGTCATGGCTGTACCAATCACGGCAGCACAGCCAGCCTTCTGGGGCAGGGCGCGCCGTAGCTGCATGTGAGATTTCGCAGCTCTTTCCAAGTATTTTGAGAGATTCGGTCGCGCCTTCTCTATTTGATTCCGCGCGGCGGTCGTTCTTTCTTATATACTTTGTTGATAGCTTCAGGCGCCCCCTTTTTTCCCCTAGCCCTCGCCCGCCATCTCCTTGTCTCCTTTTTCTCTAGATACGAGGAGGAAGTTTTAGCTTCTCAACCTGAACGCCACATTCTGTTTACTTTGCCAGCTACTCTACTTGACGCATGCTGTTTCGTAGGTCCGAGGCAAGCTTTCTTCCTCTCGTGTTGACCTGTCTCTACAATCTAACATCATAATTGATAGTCTAGTTCAGCCTCGCCCTCACCATGTCGACCAAGGAGGCGGAAAGCCGCGTGGCAACACAGGCAGCTACTCCTGCGTCGATGCGCAATGGGTCGTCTGCGTCCACAGCCGTTCCTCCATCAAGTGACACCGGTCCAGCAGGACGGGAGCGCAGCCAGCAGCAGACCAGCAGCTCCTCCTACTCAGAGCCTCTACGCTATGGTGCAAATATGCCAGCATCATACGAGCCACTGTTTGACGGTGCGTACGACAGCGATCATGAAATGGACAGGGCTAAGGATGCTATCCCACCCGACACATGTCCCGCGGCATACATTCTCGAGTGGGGTCCGCAGCAGTCTTGCGTTCGCTCCCCTCTCGATATCGACGACGCTCTGCTCAGCAGCGTCTCTTCTTCGTCCGGCGGTGTAGCGGGCGAAAGCTCCTCGCGCGTGAACTTCCTCCGCCATGTGTGGCAGTGCGATCACACATTGCCGTTGTCACCATCCGTGGCAGGGCGCATGTTTGTCGGGCTACCGGCATCAGCTACGTGCAGGCTCTACGTCCTTCGTGACACTGGCGATGAGGAGACCAATCGTCTTCTCTGCGCTACCTTTGATGTGGATCCGGCATTCATGTCCGCTCACATTTCTGGACAACGGTTCCGCCCGAGAGATCGTCCGTGGCGTGGTGGGAAGGGACATAGTGCCACGTTTTCGGCATGCTCCTACGTGTACCCGCAGACGCTCACTCTCACCGTGAACAAGCCGCTTCCAACGGGTTCGCCTCGTGGCAGTGGGAGTAACAGTCAACTGGATGGACCAGGTGAAAAGCCTCAGACTCCTGCATCCCAGGCTCCTCTCGACAACGGCCTGCAGCGCCAGGAAAAGAACGAGGCGACTGCCCCTGTGGCGGAGTCGAAGGCTCCCAGTCAAGAGCCCAGGCACTCCTCACCTACCTACGATCCAAAGACAGAGATGATCAGCAACCCAGTCGTCATGTTCTGTCGCGCAAGCCTTTGGGCGAGTCCACGTGCCAATGTTCTCTTTCTCGACCGCAATCCTTCATCCACCTCTCTCGAAGATGCTCTGTTAGAGGCTCTGGATGACACGATGGGGCCTGATTCTGCCGCAGACCAGAGTGACAATGGAACACAGCTGGCAACAGCAGCCAGGACGCTTGAAATTTCGCTCTCTGGGCTTGTCTACGACCAATGGCTGGATTTTGTTGATACACTCAGTGTCAGCAACCGCGAAATCAACCCAGGAAGAATCAACAGAAAGCTTCTTTGGGGAATGTCGCAGTACCTGGAGCTGAATCTGACCATAGCTCGCACACACGAAAAGAAGGTACACATGGCAAAGCAGCATCACCTTCAGTCAGCACAAGAGACGGACAAGGCTTCGTTGGAAAATGCAGGTCCCTTCTACTATGATGGGCAGCAATTTGCAGGCTCGGACGACTGGAAGGAGCTTCTCTCCCGCCTAGAGCGAATTGTGGCATTGCTTCCGTTGCAGAGTCGGAACCCATCGGTTGCTGCCACAGGTGGTAACATGGCCCGATTCACCGCGTCAGACACGTCATATACCGTCAATCGCATCCCCCCTCACGACACCCAAGAAGTGGCCATTGATAGTGCCCCGGAGCTTGGTCTAGGCAGTAGCACATCCACTCCAAAAGGCCCTCTCCCTGGTGGCATCAATGACCCATCTCGACAGCCATTCAGTCGCACGCCGGAGGGACAAGAAGCTCTCAGCAGAATATCTTACATGGGTGGAATCTTGCTGCCGTTCTCTATCATCGCCGGCGTACTCTCCATGTCAGATCCGTTTGGTCCGGGCGACCGCCTATTCTGGGTCTTCTGGGTCATCACGCTTCCCATAACATGCTTTACGCTAACCATTATTTACGCCGATGACATTCGAAAGGCTTACATCTGGAAGCCCATGAGCCACAAGAGCCTCCAAGACGCCATCAACAAAGGCGAGGCCGTCACTGCCGACGCGGCGGCTCGTCTGGCGCACGCAGCTGAGAGAGTCATTGACAAGTTCTCTTCCGATGGAGACCCCGAGATTGAGACAGATCCCGTGGCATCGGCGGTTCGCCTCGTCGACGCTCGTGGCAGCAACGGACGCCGGGCTAGGGTCCGGGTCACGACCAAATCAGGTCCCGGTGGACCGACGTTCTACCGACTTGCCGATGTGTCCCAGCCCGAGAGCCCACCAGTGTCCCCAGTTTCGGCTCAAGGACCTCCACTCCCCGAACCTGCGACCGTGAGGATAGAGACGGCTAACGTCGAGCTCTCAGGCGCTATTCAACACGCTCGAGTACGGCGCCGCCTCGGCATTTTTGGCCCGTTGCAACAACTTTGGCCCCGAAAGAGCCAACCGAATGTGCCAGCATCAACTTCGTTACATAATGCTGGCTCAGCTCGGCTCGCAGACGATGTTGAGCCAGGTCTCCCGTCGGGCGACACGGTGGTTATCGACGTCGTCAGACCTAACGTGGACAGCGGCACTGCAGAGATGTTCAGCCGGCCTGTTTCTGGCCTCAATGTCGCCGCCCCTGGCTGTCCGACGATTCTCCTGGAGCAGCGCAACGACGAGTTACAGCCCAAGGCATGGCGTCTACAGCAGCTTGGCTGGGTGGGAGCTTTCAAGACCATAGTCGGCTACCAGCGACCGCGTGACGCCTAGAAGGAGTCCGTCGAGTTGGTACGGCTGCAAAGTCGGAAGACAATCTGATGGAATGATGGAACGATGGAGATGTTTCATTTATAGTCCACGTGGAACAAGAGCCCATATATCCTGGTGAGAGTTTATGTGTTGTCGGAGTGGAAACGGCGTACGGGATTATGGAGCAAGTGGGTGCGGCCTGAGGAAATCATGATTTACAGTGAGACCAGTCTGCTTGGGAAAGCGAGGCAGAGGTGGATGTGGAAATTAGAACGGGGACCGATGGCCGATGCGTAAAGTACTTTTAGTATGATTATAGCAGCTGCAGGTACAACATAGTTATGACCGTGTAGTGGCCGCCACACTAAAATCCTCTCTACGCGTAAACGCGTCCAGGCTCTATAGAAATCATTATCCCCGCATGAGCTCCATACATCAACCTCGTCCCTTCCAACTTACGCCCAGTGACGTCGCAACAGTTTCTTTGACGCCCTCGCTCTCACTACCTCCCTTTTCTTTTCATCGAATTCGAACCCAGCTATGGACGGCGACACGACCGAGATCCTCTCCGCGCCGCCAGCGCCAGCAGGCGCGCCGGGTCCCCCTTCCCACGAGGACCTGACGCCCAAAGAGCAGGCTGTGCTCGAAGAATACGAACGTCTAGCTGAGAACATGAAGAAGGTACCGTTGTCCACTCGGCTCTTTTGCCTCACGGTGTCGACTGGTTGGCCTATGTGCCGCTAACTGTACAGCTCGCTGCTCTCCTCGACGACCTGGCCGGCCGGCCGGCAACAGAAACGCTCGACGGGCTACGGGAACTGGAGCGCAAGACAAGTCTTGTGTTTACGCTGCTCAAGGCGAGTGTGTACAGCATCGTGCTGCAGCACCAGATTGACGGCGGTGAGCAGTAAGCATGGATAGAGGGAGGATGAGGTGGACAGCATGGTGGACAAAATGCAACGACGATACCCTCTCGCGCGTCGTTGGGGCGCAACACACGATGGAAGGAATGTCTCGAAAGGGCTTTCATGATTTGATTTTGCCTTTTATTTTTATGCTTTGGTAATATACAAGATATAATGGGGGTGTTTTGAACAAAAAATTACAAAACTACGCTGTTTTTTCCCCTCCCCTCCTCTCTCTGTCTCTCCCAATACTCTGTCCCCCCTAGTATACAGCACCACCAAAGTAGACCTTGCGCACGTCGACCAGCTTCTTGCCGCGGCCAATGGCAATCTGCTCGGGGTCGCGTTGCTTCATGAGGGCGGCGTAGGTAGCCTTGACGACGTTCATCGGGTTGCGCGACCGGGGGATCTTGGCGGCAAGGTCCTGGATACCGGCGGCACGGGCCATTTCAAAGATGTGATGGGGCACACGCAGACCGAAGCCTAGATGACGTTAGTTGGAAAGGACACAGACAAAGCAACAAGGCGATTGCTGGGGTTGGGATAAGGAGAGAGAGAGAGAGTAGTGCGATGCAGAGGGAATCAAAGAACGTACCTGGAGGACGAGTAAAGAGCCTGACCACGGTGCCAGAGACCTTTTCCTCGACATTGCCGTAAATGGTGCGCTTCTCGTAGCGCGGAATGGGCCGCATGTTGCGGATGGCGGCCTCCTTGGCCTTGGACCGCGCCGTCGTGAATTCGGTCGACTTGAAGGTGCCCAGGCCCAGACGGCCGTCGCCGTTGCCGGCAATGGCCAGGACGGAGAATTTGCGGACCTTGCCCAAACGCGTCTGCTGGCTCACCATGCGCACGGCCAGCTCCTTGGTCGCGAGCGAGAAAATCTCGCCGACCTGGAGGCCCGTGCGGTGGACCAGGTCGGTGTAGTTGCCCGCCTCGTCCAAGCCGTCGTCGTCCGGGTCCACGAGGGTGGCGTCGCGCGACTCCTCGGAGCTGATGCCGGGCACGTTGTACGGCAGGCCCAGCGCCATGCTCGAGTTGCCCGTCTCCTCGGGCCGGATGCGCGTCTTGCCGTCCCTGTGCACAAGCGTGGGGCGCTCGTGCAGGTACTTGAAGACATCCAAGTCCGAGGGTCCGTGCTTCTCGGCATACGCGATGCGCTCCTCGAGGGACATGCCCTCCCAGTTGATTTTCTTGTCGGCGACAAACGACATGGCCCACTCCTCCATATCGTCGATAAACGTATCGTCGTCCATGATCGTAAAGTCCGTGGCGACGTTCTGGGCGGCCGCCGGGTCGCGCGGGCGGCGGTCGACGACGGGCTGGACCTTGCTAAAGTCGTCGTAGTAGTTGATGCCGGCAACACGAGCGGCAGCCGTGCTGCGCACACGGCCCTGCAGCGCCAGATCGCGTGGGTCGACAGCAGCCTCAGCAGCCTCGAGCGCGGCCAGCTGGGCGGGTGTGTACTTTTCCTGGTAGACCGCCTTGTCCTCTGCAGAGACGTCTGGGAAGTGCTTCTTTGTGAATTCGCTGATCGATGCGTCGTCGACCAGGCCCAGCTCAGCGGCTGGTACGCTGTTGAAGCGGGGGCGGCGGCGGGCCGGCCGCGGCGCAGACGTGTGGAAGTGGCTCGCCTGGACGAAGTAGGGCACGGAGCGGGGGGAGGACGACGACGAGGCGGATAAGCAAGGCTCGGGGGCTGCTTGTTGTGATGGTGACGGCGTGTGTATTGACGGTGTTGTCGTCGCAGCCGAAAACGATCCTGTGCATCGCCGCGTCTCTGGGCCGCTCGCCAGACGGCGCAGCATGCCGCCGGCCGTTGTGCGTGCAAAGCTCATGACTCGTTAGGAGTGTGCGTGGATGGCAATTGGCGTCGTGGCAGGCGGGACTGTGCAGTCGTAATCATCGCCTGCGCGCGTGAGCCTTTTCGAAGCTGTCGCCGTCCTTTTTCGGAACCACAGCTAATTTTTTCGGGGCAGTCGCTGTCGCTCAATTTGGCAGACACGGAAAATCTGCTGTCCTCATTCTTATCTTATCTAATGCACGTGATAGATCATGTGCCCTGTATTGTTAGTGACACCCGTTGGGAGTACAAGAGTTTGTGTATTTTTAGCGTCCGTACCCACTGAGAACACTCATACTAAACACTGGCTGCGAAGCAACGGCAGTCGTACGAGTGATGCGACCTCGCAGACATGTTACAACAGAGAATCCAATTGAAATCGTCCAAATGAAAGAAACGGGTGCAAATACTTGCAATCCAGCACCAGGACTGGTCATAGTGATTGTGCATATTGGCTTACATAAATTTAGGTGCCCTCCATGGGCCAAGTCGCTCCTTCCCCTGGCGGAAGCTCTCCCCAAAACGGCCAAAATCAGTCGACTCTGCCGCACACCTGAAACACAGCCTTGTTCCAGGAGCATGAGCACCGCGTAAATCCGTGGCAGGAGCGAACGGTACTTGTATTCTGTGCCTCATTGTGCTTCTTCGTTTGTATATTTTCTTGTATGTTTTATGTCTTCGCATCTGCTTGTAGCAGGGCTGGCTTGAGGACCAGCAGCCATGGCTTTGCAAAGTCAACAATACTAGAAACTGCCAGCTCAACTCCAGGGACCTCGCACAAAGAGCCCGTCGCTTCGTCTCAGCTCCCTGGTCGCTCCCAAACTCGACGATAATGCCCTCCGTCCCTAGTGGAGCTTACGACAAGAGGCGTGGCCATCTAGGTCGACGTAACATCTTGGGTTTCGGACAAGGACAGCACGGTGGACCACTCTGGCGGGTTGTCTGTGTTGTCTGTGTGGTTCCCTCGGTCTCTTTCTAATTCTCAGTTTGTCCGTGTTGTCTTCTGTCTTCCCTTTTCTCTTTTTCTGTTCCCATTTTCTGACTGTGCCATTTCCTTCACCTCCCATTCCTCGCCTCTGCTGTTTTGTTTCTTTGTCATTTTGCATCGTGCGTGTCGACATTGTCGTCTTCTCGTCTTCGTCTACTCGGCTTGTTGTCTCTTTGGCACGACTAATCGACTGGTTCCTCTGCAGCGCAGACGTTTTGTTTCCTTTTTTTTTTCTCTTTTGTTCTTTGCTTCCCTTTTCTTCTCTTTCCCTTTCATTTCACCGTTCTCGAAGACCGCTTCCACGACCATTGTCGAATCCGTCAACATGGGCCAGTTTGACTGGTTTTCCAAAATCGGCGCCACCAAGGAGGCCGTCGCCACCCTCAACGACCAGCCCGTCCTCTTCTTCATCCTGCTCGCCGTCCTCGCTACCCTCGGTATAGAAATCACCCTGATGTGGTTCATCCACCACGCTACTCTCAAGCCCGATCAGAAAAAGAAGAAGGAGAAGGGCGGCAAGAAGCCACCTGCAAAGAAGTAGAGTTCTTTGCGGGCGGTGGGCGGTGGGCAGTGGGTGTCCCGACAGGTGGATGAGTGAGGGCTCGACCGGACCCATTGTGTGGAAATCAAGACACATGAAGCCCAAGAATGTCGCACAATCGGACAATCGAGCAAGCGAACGAGACACAGACGCAAATGTGGTGGACGCAACGTCTGGGCGATGCCGACAAATGCCGACTCAAAGAACCCTATGCTCGAACCATCCAGGGGCAATCATACTTCCTCAGCATCTCGACTACTAGCTTATTAAACGCATCAGCAACAAATAAAGACGTCTTCTTGCTCGACGACCTGTTGCCCTTGCCTGGTTGCGCTTATCTTTTGCCTGCCATCTCACGTCTACCCATTTGTCCGGGCGCCTTTTTATGTTTTGTTTTCGGTTTAGTTCCCTTTATCAAGAGCGAGCAAGCGACGAGCGGGCCTTCGGAAGCATCGATGACAGACAGCATATGGCACAATACATGCCTTGCTTCGAACGTCCACTTTCTTCTTTTTTTCTCATATACTGTACATACATCTGGACGAGGGAAGCTGAGATTTCTAGACGCAAGAGCGAGAGATGAAATTCGTTGTATTTCTTTTTTTTGGTCCCATTTTCTCACCCGATGGCTGGCAGGCTGCATCGAGCGGACAAAGATCCTTTATATTATCTTCCTTTTATTTACATATAAACATAAATACTTTTCACCTACTCTATTGTCTCTTCGTTCTGCGTCTTGTATCGCGCAGTGGCGTTTCAAATTGCTCCAAATTGGCTCAAAGGCAACCTTTAATGACGCCACTGTCATCTCGCCAGAGTCCCACACCTTCATCGAGATCCTCTTCAGCAATGTCCATAAACTCAATTTCGTCGTCGTCCATATAGCCCATATCGTGATGCATAGGCCAACTCTCGTTCTCAAAGTCCCCCAACCTGTCAAGCTGCCATGCCTGCATGTCCTGCCATAACGCGTGGCCGCTTTCCACCTCGTCGGAAAGAGTACCATTAAGGCCGTCTTCATATTCTTGATCTTCATCCAGTACCTCATTCTCCTCGTAGACTTGGCCGTCTGGCGACCAACCCTCGCTGATCTCGTCAAAAAGACTGTCTTCGTCGTCCATGTATTCGTTGGCCTGGTACATGTTTGGCTCGGACCAGGCTTCGATGTCTTGCCAGTCTAGCGCTTGTGCTTCGATTTCGACGTCGTCATCATTAGCTTCTGCATACACCTCCAACTCCAGTGGTTGCTCTTGAGAGCTACCGTCGGCAGCCGATGATTGGGTAAAGATGGCCTCCAAGTTGTCGTGACTCAAATCAACCACTTGATCCTCGTCCGGCTCAAAGTCTAGACGCTCAATAGTCGGAGAAGACTGCAATTTTGCTGGCGATAAATGACTTGGTCCAGGTGCTATTGGTAGGTACGAAGGGTGACCGGGTCTTTTTAATGCCCTGGATGCCCACGTCGTCGACACGTGCCGCGACAGATTGGTTTGTTCGTGTAAGTCTGGCCTTCGGTTCGGTGACTTCTTTGGTCGAAGTCGCAATTGCATCACAATCTTGAGCAAGATCTCTTCTAGCTTCCTCATGAGCGGTCCCTCTTCTGTGTTGGCTTGGACGAACTCGTCAACGTCGTCACTCTCGGCCAGCGCTTCGGCCTTTCTCCGCAAACTGGCAGACTGCGCATTGGTGAAGCTGGCCAAGCATCTGTGAATCAAAGGCACGTAGACTGCGCGTGACGACACGGCCTATTATTGTTATGTCAGGGATGAGGACGTTGAAATACGGCCTGGTGGTATTTCAGGTAGTCTTGTGAAACTCACCGTAAAGTAGTGGTTGCTCCATACAGCCGGTGCCACATCCAGCAGTGACGGAGCACCGTGTGGTGCGGAAATGGCATCCACGGGCCGGATACCTGGCACCGGTGGTGCCTTTCCTGCCGTGCCCACGAGCACATGAAGCGCCGTTGTAATGAGAGAGACAGACTGACGCCACGCGGCACTGCCAACCACCAGCACGTCCCGCGGATCAATGACCTGCTGCTGCCTTTGCCGCCGTGCGGCTTCACGCGGACGGGGTCGTGGGTTTTTGCGGGCGGGTGGTGGCTTCTCCTCGGATCTGAACGGCCGGTTTGCCCTTTTCGACTTTGGCTTTGGCTTGGATCTTCTTGCCGCTTGCGCCTTACTTGTAGCCCGCTTCGTCGCCACCGTCGCTCGCGGGAGCTTAAATCCTTCTGCAGAATATCGGAGACCCAGCTGGCACGTCACACGCAGTAGTCGGGCCAGTGGGATACCGCTACCGGCTTGGCTTGGTGCAAACAGTCCTCCGGGCGACGATGGATGGGTAACAGTCAAATAAAGGAGAGTTGGACCTTCACGAGACCCCGTCTCGGCGCTCCTGCTTCGAACACGCAGTCCCAGCCGGTCCTTCCACACGGGCCACTCCATAATGGTCTCGCGGAACAGCTCGCAAAGGCAGTCGTTGTCATCGTCTTCGCCGTCGCCCTGAGTGCCTCCATTGCTCATACGCTTCCCCTCCAGCATGGGGCGTACAGTCAGGTCGACACTGCGCCCGTCACTGCCAATCCACAGCCGACCAGCTCGAACAAGCTCGGCAACGCGAGCCGCAGTAACTACTTTGCTGCGGAAAACACCAGGGTTGTAAGACCCTGGAATGCCTCCCAATGTATCCCAAGCGAGCTCGGCCGTGGCGGTCAGAGTCAGTTTCCATTCAGCATCAAAGGTGACCCATTGGCGACGGGGGAAATGGACTGTCGTTGTTGTCGATGCTGGCGGCAGTGGTGGTGGTACTGGGGGTGCGGATATCGATGCCATCGCTGCCCCATCGGTAATGTCATTGAGCATGGCAGGTCTTGAGGGGAAAGGGGAAAAAGAAAAGAGAAAAACGAAAGAAAAAGGGGGTTGTGTGTTGGCAGACTTTTGCCTTCCTGAACTGAAAGGGAAGGAGCGGCGCATCGTCACACCTGCCGATATTGTTTGTGTACGGATTTCTAGCTTGAAAGACAAGATGCTTTATTGGGAAACAACTAGACATATGTCGTTCGCAGCTTCCAGATTGACAAAGTACCGTCAGGCTGACAGTGGACTAAGGCATTCATTATAGACCAAAAACTGAAGCATGTAATCTGGCCTTAAAATGTCGTTCAAGTTTATATTTTCCAGTAATATTGTATTTTCATTGATGTAAAGAAAGAATATGCGCCTTGCAATGGTATGAGTCGGTGAAAATAATAACAAATAACAAAACCACAAGCGGATCGACCTGCTGTTTCCTTGTAAGCGCGTCATATTCTAAATCAACAAAACTGAAAATGTCATCCATGAAAACGGATATGGCCCTGTAGCGTGACCTCCCATTCTCCTGTATCGTAAAAACCCCCAGCAGTGAGCATTCTCCTGAGCGTAACCGGGTATAGAATGAAGGCGGCAGGCGAGAAATATTCCAAAAGATGAAAACAAATTTATGTGCAATAGTCATCAGCATGATATAGACAATAGAATGAGAGACGTTAGATGCAATACGATTGTGTAGACAAGGTGATTGCGACGAGACTATCGTCAGCCCTGTGAAGGAGGGCTTCATTTCGGCAGCCAGGGGAACTTCTTCTTGAGGTCCGCAGCACCGCCAGTGGGCTCGACCTGCACACTGCGTTGGTAGATGTCCTCTTCGTCCATGGGCATGCGACAGTCGAGAATCATCTCGCGTGACGGTTGGTGCTTCTTGAGGTTCGGGTAGGGTGTGCCTTGGCTCTTCATGAGAGGCAGCAGGACCTCGCCTAGCACCTCAAACTTCTTCCAGTTAACGCGATCACCCTGCGGGCCAACAAACGTACGGCTTCCTTCTTCGGCACTGACAAGGTCGCGACGATGCAGTGGCATAAAGGGGATGCGTGGCAGTGGCGAGTTCTCCCATGCCAATCGATAGGCAAAGTGGCTCTTTTGTGTGCTCATGAGCAGGACGAGGCGTGCAAAGCTCTTTTGGATATCTGGGTCGACAAGGGCGCGCGTCTGGGCGAGCCGATGGATAGCCGTGCTGTTAATTCCGGCCAGCATGGCGGCAAGGCCGTTGTAGTTGCGCAGCTGGCGCAGACGGAGGGCGATGGCCATAAATTTTTGCAGGCACGGTGCGCGATGTTTTGCCTTGTCGCGGATAAGGATCATGTTAGCTACCCACTTGGCGATATGGTTAAAGTGCGAAATCATGCGGTCCATGTTCCGGAGAGAGCGACACCGTTCCTTCTCCTGTGCGGATAGAGAGACGTGGCGCACGAGGTCACGAATACGGATACTGCTAAACATAATCCAGTCGATGCGAGTAATCTCGTCGGCCACCTCGTTGGCGTCCATATCCATGAAGATGTGGTAGCGGAATTTGTTGAGAGGCAGTGTTGCCATGGGCACCATGGTAGCGGCCTCGCGTTCGTAGTCCTCATACGAGTGGTATTGGAAGTGTGCCAGCCCCCGTCCAGAGCCGAGGGTGGCAGCTAACGTGCCACTACTTCCGCTGGCACTGGCGCCAGCGCCGCCACTACCAGCTTCGCTGGACGGCTGGTCGGAGGACTGCGAGTTTTGGAGCGTGAGAGATCGTAGGCTGTCGGCAGGAGGCTGCTCCTCGCTTGGAGTCGCACCGGCAGCTGTGGGCTCGTCCTGAGGCGCGTCGTCGCACTTGGCCCACCATGTATCGTCGTCTTCGGCCACATCGTTGTCGAGGTGCTTCTTGATTTGCTGCGCAGACAGAGTGAAAATGGGCTCCTCGGCAAGGCGGTAGATGAGAACCTCGAGTTGCTTGCGCGACGCCGGACGCGCAAAGTCGCCCGGGTAGAGCGACACCCAGCGGTTGAGGACCTCGATGTAACGAAACTGGGTGGCGGTGCGCTCGAGAAAATGGGAAGCCTTGTCCTCCCACGTTTTAGTCAGGGCCGAGATAATAGCTGAAAGTAGTTCGTGTGGTGCGGCGAATTTGCGGTAGAGGCAGAGGAAGACGTCAGAAAAATTAGCGTCGGCGCGGTTCATGGGAGCCGCAAGAAGGCGCTCGACCAGGTCGTTGAAGGGAATGCCAGCTGCCTTGGCGGGTATGTCGAACATGTTGTCGTCATTGCGCTGGAGGATGGGCACGTCCTCGGAGAAGCGGCGCAGGGATTCGGCATCGGACTCTTCAATGTCAAGGAACGAGTCCTGCCCGGCATCGAGCCGGACGCCGGTCGACCGTAGCATGCCTTGTACCGACTGGGTTGATCTCTCATCGGTCATTTCCGCTCCGAAACTGGAGGTATTGATTTGCTGCTGTGCGTTGGGGGAATCGACGCGTGGGGATCGAGAGTTTTGTGAGCGGTAGTAGCCGTCCCGGTCTCCAGAGGTGCTCGTCGTCACGCCTCGAAGCAGGGACAGATCAGAGCTCGCTCGACTGTGTTTGCCACTGCCTTGTTCGCTACTTTGGGGCCGACCGTTGATGCGGTCGGGTGGGGCGTCCAAGTGGGCAGCGGACGAGGCGGCACGTCGCCGCGTGGTGGTGGTTGACGCCGTCGTGCCAGTCGAATTTGTATTCGCGGTTGTTGTGCCGGGAGCACTCGTATTTGTCGTGGTGGTAGATGATGACGAGTATGTATTGTGGTGTTGGTGGCGATTGTGGTTGTGGTGGCTGTTTGACTTGTCTCCTATCGAACGGAAAGCGATTGTGTTAGAAGGGCACGACCCTGTCGCATTGAATGAACCGAGTAAGACGCTAAGAATAAAGAAAAGCATAAGAAAAAGAAGGGAGACAAAGGGAATACCAGAAAATGAGGGGACAGAAGATCCCAGTGAGAAACAAACGCCAGGTGGATGGGGGGATATAAGGCTGATGCAATATAGGGACTGTCTGCAGTTCGTAAGAATGAGGTGGTAGTGGGTAGTATGCTTTGCACACCTCGCTCTGTCCGACTATGTCACTCTCTCTTTCGTCACACCAGCCCAGTCAGTGTTTCAAACCTGGAAATCTTGGAGAAACATGGTGGGAAAAGGGAGCGGGGCTGGCGAGTGTCATTAAAAAGACATCGGTACAGGGCGTTCAAGCGTTGCTACGTTGAAAGGCAGCACCCAATTGGCTCCAAAAAAGAGATTGGCAGGGGCATGAAAACCAAAGGCAAGCTCCAAGAATATCGAAGTCATACCGTGAAAAAGACAGAAAAGTGGTTGCGCCCAGTGGAGGCTTCAAACAAAGGCCACTCGGCAGGAAAGGGAAGAAAAGGAAAGGGTTAGACATAAGATGTCTAGTAGAATGAAGGATTTTCTGCACGCGCGGTACGAGAGTAAGGTAGGGGTGTGTTTGTGTTTGTGAGCCCGCGTCTGGACAGCAGTGGCTTGAGACCGCGAGGCAAAACGGACACTGCTGCGTGTAAGAGTGACGGGAGCGGGGCCGGGAGAGACGTCGAAAACGAAATGAAAAGAGGAATGCGAAGAAAAACGATGGAACGAAACTTGCAGGATAGTTCGGAATCGAACAGATAAGCAAATCACGGGAAATGAGTTAGCCTGCCAAAAGCGAAACAAGGCGCCTTGAGGGTAGCATGGGAGCTGGGAATCTCTAAAAATGGGAGAGGGCGACGGATGTGGCCAGACAAGCCGAGACATTCAATGTCGAACGGAGTAAGACAGGCGAGGAAGCGAGGGGGCGATGCAGCGAGACGGTCAAAAGAATAAGACAAAAGAAAAGGAAAACAAAAAAATCTACTCGGAGAAATGAAAACAAAAGGGACAAACCTTGACGGTTGTACACGGCGGCTAGGACAATCGCCTGCAGACAGTCGCGGGTGTTGCCCGAAACATTGGCGGACGTTTTAAAGTCTGCGACGAGGGACGGGAACAAGTTGGCTAGGCCATCGGCGTTGATTTGGCGGGCGGATTCCGGGTTGTCGCATTTGGTGGCCACAAGAATGGTAGGGAGGTTGGAATTGTGCAGAGCCGCTGTTGTATCCCCCCAATCGTCTGGTTAGAAACAAAGTTCGCAGTAATTACAACATGCAAACGGTGATGAACATTGTCACACGTCGCAATAATGCCGGGCGCAACACCACAACAGCAAACCATGGTAGAAAAGAGTGAAGGAAATAAAAAGAGGGACCAGCTCCACCTGCGCTGTTGCATGGTTTTGTGGCGAGAAATGGTGCATATAAATGATGCACAAGGTGGCCCGACCCCCGTGGCATTGCACATAGGGTACACAAGTGGTGGGCGAGAGGTGTTGACAAAGGCACGGATGGTGCTCTCATGGAATATGCACATAGGAAAGGCAGGAGGATAGTAACGGGGAGAAATAAATGGAAAGAGAAAAAAATAGAGAAAAAAAATAGAAAAAAAGAAAAATAGAATAAAATAGAAAAAAAAAGAAAAACGACAAAACAAAGTGGACTTACACAGGGTGGGGGGGAGCTCTCGGATGCTGTCCCTGTTCATTACATCATAGAGCATCAATGCGCCGTCAATGCGAGGCACGATATGGCCACTAATTCGCTTGGGCCAGTGGATTTTCTGTTTGGGATCGACGTCGAAATGTTCGAGATCCAGCTCGATCAGGACAACGATAAACGGATTGTTGTCGACGTCGATACGCATAGCGGTAATGCCACCGGTTGGCGGCTTGGCCAGGCGCATCGCTCGTTGGATAAAGGACGACTTGCCGACGCCATCGGCGCCGATGACGGCAATGTTCACGGTGGCCATTTTCCTTGGAGGTGGAGGCTGGCATATACGTCAGCGACGACCAAAAAATAAATAAATAAAGAGGTGCGTAGAACACGGCTCTTTCCTACCCTAAGACCTTGGTCGTTTACAGTCACGGGTTCCCTTCGAGACGGAGGCCCGGCGGACCTGTCATTGCCGGGGTTGTGTTGTGTATTGGGGTTGGTGGGGTCGGGGCTAGCGGTACCAGCATCGACGCGAGACGAAGTATACGAAATGACGGGAGGGTCGGGAGGTAGGGACGGCGTCGAAGGGCCGGGGAGGGTACTGTCGTCGTCACCAAACCAGTCGGTTCCGGCCGTGTGGTATCGCTGGAAAAAAGGATCGTCTAAAATAGAGATGAAGGAATCGCGGATATTGGTTGACGACGGAGGCGGGGGCGACAGACTCGTGGGGTGCTCCCTTTGTGGCGGAAGCTGGTGTTGAGTAGCTTTTGAGAGCGGTGATTGCGGCGAGGCGCGAGGCGGTTTTGATGATTGCGACAGGGGCTGGCTTCTTGCGGTGAGCTGCCGAGGTTGCCTCAGCTCGGGGAGGGATGCAGAAATGGTATCGATGTCAGAGTCGGACGTCGGCTCCGGGGCGTCGAAGAAGTCTTCTTCACTGTCAGCGTCACCATCCGGGTCGGCGTCGAGGAAAGTGCCGCTCCAAGGGCCGATCGGCGTGACAGCCGGGACTTGTATGGGGGATATTGTCGGATCTGTGTCGGGGTTGACAGCGGTTTGAAGAGAAGGTAGGGAGGGATGAGGATGCTGCGGTGGGAGCGATGAAGTAGACGAGGCGGTGACTGAAGCACTGGGCGAAGATGAGGCAGGTGGCGCGGCGGTACTCGGTGGTGCGTCGCCAGGGCTTGCGGATGACGGGGTTCGGCGGCGGCTCTGGGCAACGGCTGCGGGCAAGGAGCTAGAACTCTTGCGACGTGGTACTCTGCCCAACATGAACAGGGCGCGGTCATCTGGGAGCGTGTGAGTTCGAGCTCGAGGGTTGTTGGACGACATGGCGGGCGATGGTGAGGGTGGTGGGAAGGAATGAGTGAGGGCAGTGGGCGGGTGTGGGGGAGGCAGAAGATCAGATATGGATTGGGGCGGATGACGAAAGTCCGATTGAAAAGGAGTGGGCTGAGAAACGAATACGGCGAAGAATTAGGAAATAAGAGAGACTAGACTGGGAAAGAAGGAGAACCAGAAGAAAAGGACAAAACAAAGCAAACCGCGACGCAACAAAACGAGACTGATGTGACGGAGAGAATGCTCGACCAAAGACAAAAAAATAGCACGAAAGACGGAGGCGAGAGAACACAAGCAAGGGCACAGCTCCAAAGACAAGAGCGGGTCGGGTAGGAGGGCAGGGGAGGTTCCCAACACCAGGACCGAAGGACAGGGCAATTTTAGGGTGTGGGAATCATCGCGAAAAGGGTGGGGCAAGCGAAAGCAGATTAGCTAGGTCGTCGCCCCCCGACACCAAGGTGCGGGATGAACGGGGCTCAGTTTGTCTTGGACATGGACGAGGACCCAACATGAGCGTCGTTGACGGCCACAACAACTGATGACAGGATGAGACTCGCAGGGGAATACCCATCAAGAAAGAAAAGGAGGAAAGAGGCGCGAGGAGGGGGACACGGCGTGCAGTGGTGCAGTGGAGCATCGTCAACTCGAGCTGGTGGAACAGAGTTGACCACGCACGACGAGGCGGTGGGATCACCAGCAAGGGAATAGGGAAAAAGTACGGAAGGGCGATGAAACGGTCCTACTAGGGCTAGTGAGCAGCTTGGGAACGTACATGTACTAGGACCATGCCACTCCGAGCTGTGCCTTGTGGATGGGGCCATTGAAAGGCGGGCAGTGGGGTCGAAGTAGGCAAAGGCGGCAAGAAAAGGCGGTCGAGAGGAGAGCAGCAATGGTGCTGTTGGCAATGCTGGTGCAAGTGCTGTTGCAAGGCTCAGGGTGGGGATGATGGGGATATTGAGGTGTAGATATTTGCAAGGGACGAAGCGCAAAGTGACATGTGAAGCTGTGAAGCTGTGAAGCTGGCCAAAGCCCAACAAAAAGACGCACCTAGACACCGCCAGGTGTTTGGAAATGAAAAACTGTGTGTGCCAGACCAGCCGCCCAACAGACGGTTGCTTAAAGGGCGTTGTTTAAGAATTGATGCTTTACGATGTGCACCAACGCCAATAGCAATTTCCAGAGCAGACCCGGTCTCTAGTCTCTGGATGTTTCGCTCGATTGTTTGCTCCCGTCTGCCCCTGGTTCCAGCATGCGTTCCTGTCGAACCGACGAAACCTGCAGTATGCAGGCTGGAGGTGCAGATATGTCGTCGTAGTCCGGCTGCTGCTCTGCAGGTTGCTCGCAATCAGAGTGTTGAGCTGTCTCGCCGTCTGTTCGGTTGGGTGTCTTTTCCAGTTTTATCTCTTTTTATCTTTTTTCCCCGTTGCGATGCAGCTCGGTCATTCGAATAATGAGGAGAGAGGACGGTTTTGGGGCTGGAGCCACGCGTCGTGGACGCTGGCAGACGTAATAGTTCGTGTGTACGGAGTTGGTTGTGATCGATGTGGTTACCAACCGGAGTTTTGACTTGGACTGCTTGAGATTGTAAACAACAGCGCGCGGCAGTGGAGGTTACACAAAGATGAGAACGAGAAGGAGACAGCGAGGTTGGCAACGCCTGAGGAGCAGGTGAAGAGCGGTGCGTGATATCGGCCACGTGCAGTGAGAAGGACAGCAGACGCGAGCGGGAAAGAGCGACGGAGAACCTCTTGCAGGAGACTGACGAGGGCAATGAGGGTGGGGGGACAGCGAATGCAACCTTGGGTGGAATAGGAAGCAGCAAATGGTAGATTGCCCACGAGGGAACTGAATCGGTCCTGGTAAGAGGAAAGAAGGAGGGGAACGATGCTGAGAGAATGCAGGTGCGATGCAGGCCAAAGGAAGGGGGACCGGTAGGCAAAACACCGAAACGGGCAGAAACGTGGCAACCACAAGCCAGTTGGCAGACGACACGGACGGAAAGACCAAACGAGTGGAGAGCTCTTTCTGTCTGTGAGCTGTGAGCTGTGAGCTGTGAGGCTGTGTACAGTGTGATTGATTCATGAGACCAAGGACGGAAAGAGCGAAAGAGCGAAAGAGCGACCTGAACTACAAGTCAATATTGACCATGTCGGCCACACGACGAGAACCAGGGAACCAGGGAACCAGGATCGCGCCAATGCACGATGGATGCTGCGTCAGGGGCCAGTGTTGAAAACGGCCGTTGGTGTGCTTCCCACCAATCTTTCTCTCGGGTACATGATACTCGGTACGACTCAACAGTGCTACAAGGTCAAAAAGGTCTTTTTGAAGGACTCTTGTGGTTGTGAGAAGGCACGATCAAGCAAAAGCAGAGTTCTCCTTCGCTCTTACCCTCTTTGAAATTGGATCTGTGGTGGTCCAAGTCGGCTTAATTGGATGCTAGGGGACTATTTTCTTACCCTCACTTTCACCTTCATCATCCGCCCCTCACAAGCTCTTTCCCCTAACCAATCTTCAGCAAATGGCCAGGTGAGCGACCACGCGTCTTTCACACCGGCAATGCGAGTTACCGGCATCCTCGAGGCTGCGCCCTCTGCATCGTGTGCTTGTCTGTCCAGCGCCTCGCGACCAAGCGTCTCTCCCAATGCCCTGGCCACGTGGGGATTCGCAAATTGTGTGGAGATGGAGGAGAAAACGGTTGATCACCGTTTTTGATTTGCGGCTCACCGCAAAAGGCCGGCAGTTCCAGGCCCACAGCGACGCACTGTCCAGGATTCCCAGGCGGCATGGTTGACGAAAACTGGGGAGTGCGACCCCCTCGCGTACGTCTCACAGCTGCATCATGCAAAGACCCTGCGCAGATAGAAGAAGTGTGCACCATTGACGAATCGACGAATTGCTTGAGAGTGTGCATCTCTCCATGAATGTGCTCAGCACAACTGACCTGCGCTCCACGCGACGTTCTCGGGGCAAGACGATCTTTTGTTTTTGCCGATCCCTCCTGAAAGAACGGAACCAGGAACAGGTGAGGGGAGAGCAACCCGACTGTATGGCTATGTCGATATATAAATCCAGCCCTGTCTCGAGAGTATCTTTTGGTCCTGGAACCAGACAGGCCCGGATGCGGTGGCGCTCGTGCCAGCAAAGCTGTGGGTGGGACGTTCACAGGGCGTGAGTACGGAGTATTCTTCGAGGCGGTTTGAAATCGTCAACATGGATCCGATCAATGGTCATGAAGGACCACCAAATGCTTGTCTTACACTACAACAGTTTCGAAGCTGCGTTGTAGCTACAGGCCGTCTTTCACCTTATTTTATGGAAAACAACCTTTTCTTTGAAGCAAATTCGGTATGATATCGGCTAAGATCTGCGCAAGTCGCCTGAGAACATTGATTCGGTCATTCTGCAATCTGGATTGCCCTTCGACTCTTTACACACAGCGTATCTTCCCGACAAAACCTGGCTGCAGGCCAGATCAGCATCGACAGAGCCAGTCCATGCCGTTCTATGACGATATGCTGAATAGCGTCCAGTCGAATTCTTTATTTATAACGTCGGGCCTCTACAACCTTCCCCACAAATGTGAGATCGCCTGCAGCATTCAGACTCGAAGCGACCAGATCTGGATCGATGTCGTTCTCATGCATTCCCGTTTTGTAACGAATTCCTCCCCCATTACCTTTGCTTTGTTATATTTTTCTATTTGCATTCGTCATCACATCTTCACGGCAGCGCTTTTCGCATCCCGTCCGATGCTTCCCTGATCAGCTCACGCCCTCATATATTTCTTTTGTCACTTGTTCCAAGCTCGTCGTTGCAACGTTCTCCCACTCTCTGCACCGGAATTCCTTTCGATGCCTGTTTGTCCACTTCCATGTCTCACTTATTTCCCTATCCGCTTCGTCTTTTACTGATTGCACACGTTTGCCCCCTCTTATCTCTCCGTGCCTGGTGTTTCGACCAGCATCGACTGGCATGTATGTCGTCGATGTCTCTCCTCCCCTTCATTCCTCACTCAGGCACCCACACATATTCTTTCGGCCTTTATGCTTTGCCCGTTTACGGTCATTGTCTGTGCTTCCAAACAACCGGATCGTCAACCCTAATCCCAATGCAGGAAGGTCTTGTGAGACAGGGCAGCCAGGCAAGTTGGCGATGAAGAGAGACATCGAGTGGCATGCAAGACATTTACAGCGCGCCCAGAACTTCGAGAAACAAAAATGTCTCCCATTTCTGCTGCAAACGTCCACACTTGCGGAGAGTCTGCTGTGTTTGTCCTTCACTCGCCGATAGTTTCCCATGGAAAAGGGGACGGAAGATCGCGATCTGTTACATAAGGCCCAAAACGGCCTACAAAATCGCATCTAGAAGCATTTACTTGGCGTTTGGCATGCGGAACTTTCTTTTTCGCATGCTGCGTCCACCTGAATATCAAGCATCGCTCTTCTCAGCATAGATACGTCACTTTTGCACCACAATTACGTCCGCATTTGATCGTTTCTTTCATTCATCAGCAGCCTATATCTTGATCCTGTCGTCCTTGTCCTCTGTGTTTCCGTCTCTTCTCTTCCCTTCCCTTTCCCATCCTTTCTCCAAAGGCAAGTCGCAATCACATCGCTGCATTACCGCTTCTGCTATATCCCTGTCGACCTATATTCAACCCATCTTCATTTTCTCATATCTTTCCTCTTTCCGCCTCACTGCCATTGCCTTTTCCGCCTGTGTAACGGCCTCTACGCTCCGAATCGCCCTATCTGGAAACATCCGTGCATCGCGCCTCGCTTCTTTTTTTCTTCACTGAAAACGAGAACATTTCCGTCACATTTACTTTTCAATATTTATCCTCCTCCGCCTCTCTTCCCCCTCCCTGCAATGCGTTACGAGTCAACAATGATGATGGCCGGTCCCACCACAGTTGCAGCGCCCCGGATGGACCAGCCTACCGGTGTCCCTCTCTACCACGCGGTGCCGACTCGCCGTCCTTCTCTCCCGCATCAGCCTTCTTCTGGCTCCTATGGCTCGTTTGGCTCCTTTGGCTCTTTAGCTTCATCGTCCTCGCAGCAACTGCACCGCCGCAGCAGTTCTGCAACCACAGCCAGCGTCAGTCGCCATCGCCGCAGCTCCCACTATCAACACTACCAGCTGCAACCGCAACCCCAGCCAATACAAGCGGTACAGCCGCAGTTCTTGTTCTATCCACAGATCGTTCCCTACCAGCAGATGCCATATCCTCAGCAGCTGCCCTATCAACACCAGCGTGTGCACAACCTCCTGCACAGCAGTGCCGCCAGCAGCTACCAGACACTTCCCTACCACTACTCGTACCAGCCGGTGAACCAGCCTGTAAACCAGCTCGGTCCCGTCCACGGCTACGGCCAACCGTCGCCAAAGCACCACCTCCGCCGCCAGCAGCATCTGCTCCCGGACGCACCGCCGTCATCGTTGCAGCACTCGTCCTGCCCGTCCCTCTCCTCCAAACAGACGCTCGCGGCTCTGCAGACGAAGCAGGCCACGTCCCAAGCAGAGGCCCAGGTCGCGAGCACACAAACGGCTCTTTTCTCAGGCTTCTCGCTGCGTGGCAGCCAGCAGAACAAGGCAGCAGACGGTGCTACACAGAAGAAGCAGGACCAGGACAAGGCACAGGCCAAGGATACGACAAAGTCCAAGACCGTCCTCCACGCCAGCGCCCCCACCGTCAAGCCGCCGTCCCGCAAGAAGGACTCCGTCGGGCGCAACCGCGGGCCCGTCGACGCCAAAGACCTGACCAACCGTCTGTACACCATCCTGGCAGAGTGCGGAATGCAGGCGGCCGCCAACACAACTAGTGCGCCGCCGCTGTCGCCGCTGTCACCACGGTCACCGCTGGAGGCGGCGCCGCCCCAACTTCTCCCGCAAGGCGTCGTCGGCGCCGACCGCAGCGGCCAGCGCATCCGGTCGCGCGGGTCGGGCAACCTGCGCGCCTTGTACGCGTCCAATACGCCTATCGTGCCCACCACAGGCGGCGGCGGAGGCAGCATCCGCCGGCAACCCTTTTCCGCGCCCAACGACCTCAACACACTGAGCGAGCTGCCCCCGCCGCCCAGTATGGTCGATCTGCAGCGGCGCAAGCACCGGACACGGTCGCTGTCCCCGAATGAGGTATATATGCGTGGTAGCGGGCCAGCCGGCACGACGGGCGCGAAGCTGCCGTCACCCATGGCACCGGGCACGTTCGGCCAGAGACGCTCTGTGTCGAGCATGATCCAGCCGCCGCCCAGCGCGCAACACGGCTTGCCGTACATTCCCAGCCAGGCGGCGCAGCAGTTTGCGCGCACCACCGCCGCCGCGGGCAGCCCGCGCAAGTCGACACGCGTGCCAAAATCAAGGGGCCAGTCACCCAAGGCGCCGTACTCGCACAATCAGTCGGTGTCCGTTTCGCCACCATTGTCTCCCAAGAGCAAGCCGTCACCGCCGCTGTCGCCAAAGACGAAACCGTCGCCGGCGCGCTCACCAAGAGTGCAGCACGCCTTCAAGGACACGCTGGCCGAGCCGGGTAGCCGGCGCCAGAGTCAGAAGGAGGGCGCAGAGGCTGCCGCGGCTGTGGAGGATGCACCCGGTGACGCAGACGAAAAAGCCGAGGAGGCGGCCGTTGACGGTGCTGCTGTGGAAGGCGCTGCCGCCGATGAGGCTACAGAGAACGCCGATGACGAGGCCGAGGCCGAGGCAGAGGGAGGTACCGATGCCAATGCCAAGATGGCCAAGGCAGCAGCCACGAAAGCAATGGCAGCGGCCGACGTCCGCCGTATTGTGCAGGAGCACAGCGTCGACTGGACGCAGAGCGATGAGGCCACGGTACTGCGGAAGCAGGCGAAGAAGGAGAAGAAAGAGCGCGAGAAGCGTGAGAAGAAGGCCAAGCAGCAGCAGCAGCAGCAGCAGCAGCAGCAGCAGGCAGGCGATGAGGCCCGCCCACTGTGGCGGCTCAAGGCTCGGCTGAGCAGCTTCTCCAAGGACAAGCTCATGCCGTCGCCGCCCGCCACGGCGGTGGCGGTGGCCGAGGACAAGGAGGACAAGGCTGCACCGACTTTGGCAGCGACCGTCGTGGAGGAGGCATCCAAAGTCCAAGAACAGGTTCTAACTGCCGGAGGTACCAAGGAGGTGCCAGGGGTGGTTGAGTCTGCGGCGGGCGAGCCGACATCGAAGTCGTCGTCTGTGCTTTCGCTGACGGCGTTGACCAAATCGTCGTCGTTCCTGTCTCGATTCAAGTTTTAGTTTTTTATTTTTTTTTATAAGTTTGTTTGCATTTGTCTTTCCGTTCTTTTGCAGCGTTTCTAGCATAGCCTCGCGTCCTTTCCATTAACACGCGCGTGATTCTTCTTCGGCGGTAATTGGAGGACGGAAAGTGGAGGGCAGGAAAGAAATGCACCATTTGATTCCAACCAAGAAAAACAGTGCCAAATGAAACTGAACTTCAATACATACCGCTGCCAAAGATTTTGTGGTGTCTGCTCATCCACACGGGTATCCAATACTATGTTTCCGTAAACGGCACTTGGTGGCCGGTTCTCAGTGCCGGCCCTCGGCATCCAGAAGCGTCTTGATCGCCTGATTGGCCTCGACGGCAAGTTCGTCTCGCACGACAGCGGACACGTCGTGGACGCTGGCATTGCTGTCGCTGCTCCAGGTGCCCGTGCCCGTGCCCACACGGTCGTCGGCATCGCGTGCCAGCAGGTACGTCACAGTTTCGCAGTAGGCGCGCACCGCGTCGCCGTCCTCGCTCGGGTCAACGCGGGCCCGCCGCAGCGCCTTTTGGCCCTCGCGGAGACCCATCTCCTTGGTCCACGGCCTGCTGGACATGCCACCACCACCACCACCGCGACCGCCGCGGCCGCCTCCGAAGCCGCCTCGGCTGTTTTTGTGCTGCAGGCGCATGGGCAGGCCAGGGATCGGGGCTTTGTTTCCACCACCGCCAGATTTGGGCGGTTGCGTGGCTTCGTAGATGGATTTTAAGCGCTCAGGGAGCGTTGGGTATTTCTCAAAGAGGTGGCGAAGCTCGGGGGCGTCGTCAAGGACGTGGAACGGGTGTGCAGGCGGTGCGGGTTTCGGGGGCAGCGAAGGCACTGCCGAGGCCCCTGGACGAGTCGACTTTGTCTTATCGTCGTTGGTTGGGGCATCGGGTGGGTGGTTGTCGCGGTGGATGCGTGAGCACGTTACGGAGCAGCTGCTGTCGTTAGTCGAGCTCATCATACCTCTTTCCCTCGTCTCAAAGAACCAAGACAACATACTATGCCAACGGACACCGTGAACATTTATACTTGGACGGCTCCTTGTTGCACACGCCGCATACGGTACGGCGCTTGGCGGGTGGTGTTATCGTCTCGTTGGCCTCGTCTGTGGGTGCTTCTTCGGCTGTCTTTCGAGGCGTTTCTATGTGTGTGCTCGCTGCGCCACCGTCCACAGCAACAGTACTGGCCTCGGTCGTATCCCCCGCTGCCCGATCGGAGCTCATCGGTGCTGACCGTTTGCCGCTCGCTGGAACTTCTGATGATGCTGTCGAAGGTGCAGCTGCCGCTGTCTCGCTGCTAACATGAGACATGGGGGATTGTCCGCCTTCTCTACTCTCATCCGCCGGCGCTGGGGTGCTATTTTCCTCAACAGGCGGTGGTGAGGACGGCATTATGTGTTGTCGCGTACTTTTGGCTCTGGTTGTTAACTCGTTGCTATCGTTGCGTTGTGTTATCGCCTCATGAATGGGAATAAGTCGGGGCTCATAGCTTTGAGCTTTTCGTTGATCGTTTGGTAGGAAAACAGTGATGACTAATCGCAATTTTTGTCTTATCTTGTCTTATCGGTTGGTGAGCTCGTACCAAGAGCTTCTCTCGAATGACACAAATGGACTGACAAAAGAAAAGTTTGTGAATGCCAGTGCCTTCTGTTATAATTATTCTTTTTCGCAGGGTTGAAGCGAATATTTCAAATTTGTTCTTGATCCATGCTATTCTCTGAAAATGCCAAAATGTTTAAAACGCCGGCAAATAAAACGGAAAACCATGAATGGTAAAAGAACCATGAACAGATCTTTGAACCATCTTTCACTCCCATGCCCTCCAAGCTGTACTGTCCCAGCCATCTGCCAGAAGCCATGACAGAATATGATGCCGATCCCCCTCCGCCATAACCCTGATAGCCTTGTTTTGTGTATTTTCGCATCGTGGTAGCACGTGGTATGTAACTGACAGAAAAAAAAAAACGTACATAGATGATCGGATATTAAACAACGGGAATGAAACAAGACAATGCTACGCAAAATGACACGGAGCGAGAAAGCGAAAAAAGAAAAAAACTGCAAAAATGTGTATGCGGCGGAAGCATTACCACCCCGGCTTGTCCTCGAGCTTGTCGATGCGCTTCTTCCAAAACTCAAAGGACGAAAAGAAGATGGCGTTCAGGACGCAGGACCGCGTCATGGACACGCCGAGGCCTCGGTACATCTGGCGCTGGAAGAAGTGGATCTTGACCGGCTTCACCTTTTGGCCTTTCGAATACAGCAGGGCATTTCGTTGATATATGCTCTTGGCCGAGTCGATTGGGTCTGTGGGGTCAGCACAACGTTCATTTGTTTTACCAGGGCTCGGATGCGAGTGCCTCGCCAAACATACAGATAAGAGACCACGATACGATGCCGCACAGGCCACCGGCAATAAAAACGGGCAGAGTGCTTGGCTGGGTCGCGGAACCGGCGAACGTTGTGAGGAGCTGTTTGCTACTTTCGTATGTGATGAAATACAGGCTTGTGCCGAGTGTATCTCGTACTGTAAGGTGTTAGGAACCATAATCGTCGCGCTGGTTGCGAATTCAGAAAAGGGAACGAGGGGCGAGGAAAACGTACATAAGTGCAACCGGTAACCCGTATAAAGGCCTGTGAGTCCTCGATGGCGAATAATATTTGCCATGGTTTTTAAAGTGCCCTTATTTTGGTAGCTAGAAGCCACGGCGCGGCTGCGTGAGTCGGGACATTGCGTCTTTTCAGATAGCAAGACTGACACTTGGGCGCTCAGTTTGGTCAATTCGAACGGACCTGCGAGTGGCGGTAGTTAGCAAGTCTGTCTATACCCCCCCCCCCCCCCCCTCCAATAGGAAAGAATACGCACAGGCGATGACCGTGATGCAGGATCCTGCCGTGGCACCGGCCGCACCAAAACAGGCAACCGACCAGAGGTTTGGGTAGGTGCCGTGCGTATTGACATGCTTGAGGACGTCAAACCCAAAGTTTTTGCTCAACCAGTCCGAGTATATGTATTTGGCGCGCTGGTAGATGGAAAACGATATCGTCCGTACAATCGTGACGCTTGCCAGAGGTGCCGTTACACCTAGAAATGGACAAAAAAAGAAAATCGCAGTTAGTCGCTTCGCTCTGAGTGACAATCGAGGTGCGCGCCACCGTATTACAGCAGGGCCATGAAGAAAAAAAAAACCAACCTCGGAAGAATCCCCGCAAGCCTTCATTGGCGTATGTGTGCTTCAAACAGTCGGCAAAGCCGTCGTATTTGTAAGTCTGCATGCGCGTCTTAACGCTGTCGAGTGGAAAGGCACAGGCCGTGCTGATGGCGCTGGACAAGCTGGCGCTGACTTCGGTCCGGTACCGCTTCACCCATCGTTGGGGCGGTACTTTGGACTTTGAAGAGAATGGAGGGAGGGAGGGAGCAGGAGAACCGGCGGGAGCCTGGCTCGCGGCTATGGCTGAGGAAGCGGGTGTAGATGTGTTGCCGCCGCCGCTGCTGCGGTTGTTGCTGCCACCTTGCGGGGACATGATGGGAGGGCGGGTTGGGGCCGTGGGATCATCTTGGGCTCGACGAGGGCTGTCGGTCATGCTCCGCGCCGAGAGGGGGCCCCGAAGGAGGCGACAGGGGACGTCGAGTGCGCCGCAATCGCAGAGGGGACGGTTCGAGGTCGTAATCGTCCGGAGAGGGGTTAAAAGGAGGTTCGGTCAGGGGATGTAGACGGCGCCCAAGCGATGTCGTGATCGAAAAAGACCTCACTCTAGCTTGGCAAGCGTCGGAGTGAAAGAGTGGCTGAATCTAGAGATACGTCGATGCGAGCGCGTATGTTGGTCTCGGCAGCTCCGTCTCGGTCCAGAGGGAGCGCTCGCTGTACCCTGCGAAAGGCGCACTGAGCACTGCAAACACGCAGCAGTCGTCAGAGGGCGGTGGTCTTGTTGGACGGGTATGGTTCCCTTGAAGTCGCCTTTACCGGTAGTCCTAGTATGCCCTGCCGTTTCGTGCTGCACCAAGGCGACAATGCCACAGCAAGACACAGCTTCTAAAAGAACCTCGATATAGAGAGCCACGTCGTGTCAAAACCGAATGCGAGCACAGACAGACTCTGCTATGCGGCGCCAGCGCACTATCAGGACCAGACGGCTCGGACGATAGATTGGCGGAGTCGGTCAAGTCTGGCCAAGGGCGAGAGAGAAATGGCCGAGACAAAAGGGCGATGAGAAGAGGAGCACACGAGCTGAGAGGATCAATATCGTTGTAATGACGAAGAGGGAGAGAAGGGAGGCAAGAATGAATTAAACAAGCAGCAAAGAGGACAAGCAGAAAGAGCGTCTCAGTCGAGCTGCCGCTTGTTTGGCGGAATTGGATTGCTGCAAACTGTACCGTTTGATTGGCCAGCCGGCCGACGAAGCTGCCGTAAATGGGTTGGCGGAAAGAGGGGGCCTGCAGCAATTACCACTGGAAGGCACGATTGTGCCAGTGACGGGACAACAGGGAAAGAGCGATGTGCAGCGGGGCAGCATCTGCAAGTTTGAAGCAGGTGCGATAGACGAACGCGAGATAAGACAGAGAAAAAGGCACATTCTAAAGGACAAAGAAAAACAAAGAAGACAAAGACAACAGCAGGCAGAACGACACGCAGACTGTATTTCTAGCGGTTTCAATATTCGCTCGACGTCTCGTTTTTGTCGCTCGTCTCCCCTCGTTGTCGGTACGGTGGCCAAACCGCCTACCCAATGTCGAAAAATGAGCAATGTAGAATAAAAAGGCCCTGGGCTTGGGCTGGGCCGGCCTAGGCTCGCTGGGTGGGTACTACTTGCCCCGAGCGAAGCCCCGAACACAAAGCACGAAAATACGAAGTTCTGGGGAAGGAACATCTGATAGCAGCCGAGCTACAGCCGAACCCTCCGCTACAAGACGGAGCCCGGGGCTCCTTCCGGGGGCAGTAACTCGGCGAAAGAAGGATGCCACGTGCCAATGCTATGATTTTATCGTTCCTCTCGAGTCTCCTTTCTGCTTCTCAACTTAATCATTATGTGCAGCATAATCCTTTTACTTTTACAAACCCCAACTTCAGCATCGCACTCTCAAGTTGCTTCCTGCATAAACTGTCTGGCTCAACCGACGTCATCTGTCCTAGCTGGCATTCCCCCTCATGCAGCCCGCCAATCACAATCGCCCTTTACCAGACAGCCGTCAATGGCAGCAAAACACACGACTCTCGAACCTGGCATGAGGCTGCATAAGCCATTGTTCCACTGTATGTGACGCGTGTACACTTGAATTCGATAGTTCTCCAAGCTAGCAATAATTTATTGCTTTATTTGTAGCGCCGTTACATCCATATAATGCATGTATCCGTGGATGGCAGATCGGCCAGTTGCGCCACCAGAATGCGTGCTTGGCAGCTGGCGGCTGCACAACTGCAAGCTGCACTTTTAGAGCACAGTTGAGCGATCGTGATATAGGTCCGCCATTGTGTAGGTGACGACGCTTCTGCTTTGACTTGACGGTTGTGTGGCTCGACCAGCGGCGCATAGCGTCGTGAAGAGTATCGTTGGGAGAGAGGAGAGTTCCGTCGAGGAGCAAGAGCAGAGACCGTGTTTGCGACCAGTGTCTGCAATGAGAGGAGCGGAGATGGTATCGTTCGGCCTCCCTTCTCTTCTGTCTTTCAAGGTGGATTTGGAGGAATAGAGACATGTCCTAATATCGTTTCAAGGGTGGCTACACTCGAAATTTCGCCTCAAAAGACCTTCACCGTAGGCACAGTCTCATTTGCTTGTTGAGCATTGCAACAGTTTCGTCGTAGTGATCGTATGCCGTCCGTATGAAAGGGTCACTAAACGGTTAGCCCTAAGTAAACTTTTTTTTAAAAAAAAAAGAATGGTACAGTTTCATTGAACGCACTCTGGCTTCGGCTTCTTCTGCTGGTGCACGACCTTCCACGGCGTCTGCCGCGCGGCCGCCTCCTTGCGCCGCCAGTACGCCGTCTTCAGCAGGTTCCGGAGGATCTTGTGCTCGATGCCGCGGTACTCGGCCGCCGAGTTGAGGAACCAGACGGTCCGGCGCACGGCCTCAGGGTCGAACGGCTGCGCGCCCTCGTTGTTGGCCGCGCTCGTCAACGTGGTGCGCTCACCGCGAAAGGCGGCGCGCAGTTGGTCGCGGACGACATAGCGACCAGGTTTCGAGAACTGGACGGCGCGCAGGGCGCTGCGGTAGAGGCGGCGGTAGGCCTGTACGAGCTCGGCGCTGGACATTGTCTGTGCCCGGGGTCGGCGTTGCGTGAGATCCGATTGTTTGTTTTGGCGTGGAGGCAAGGTGAAAATCGTCGCAAACGTCCAATGTTGAGCCTCGTGCTCAAAGCTTCTCGGAATTTCACAAGGTAGCGGGAATTGTGGGGCAAAAGCTTTCATCGTAACTTCACTAGCCAATTAGAGAGCTCGGGCCGTTGAAACCAGCTTCGGTCTTCATTACAACATGAGACGAAAGAAGAAATTGACAACATCTCTTCAGAGTTGTGTCCGTTCATTGCGGGGAAATAAAAACTCCATAAGGAAGCCATCCTTGGCCTCTTATCATGGTACATGATGTCCAATAACCGCAAATCCCTCTCCAAATTGGGGATTGCCAGCCTCTTCCCATCCCGCAAAAGAAAATACATTGCGCTGCCACATCAACTCTTGTGTGACGTGCGTCTATATGCAAAAATGAATCCAAACAGAGAACAGAGAATAGAGAAAAACGAAGAAAAACAGGGGAACCAACGAAAAATGAGACGCGACTGTTTAGAAAAACGGCAAGATTTGGAAAGACACCCGGCAAACGTAACGCCAACGCTTGGCTCGTTTGGTTGTTCACTTGTTCGCTCGCTTGACTCGCACTCACTACGAAGCACTACTTTTACTCCTCACCCTGGCCAAGGGGCGCATACTTGCCGCCGCTCTCGCCCCGGTTCGGTGACGAGCCGCCGCGGAAAACACCCACGCGTGAGAGCCAACCCGAGACACCACGGCTCGAGCCACCCTCGCCGCCACCGCCGCCACGGCGACTTGACGGCGTCTCATGGAGAGACGACGGTGGGTCAATGTTGAGGCCAGGGATGGCGCTGGAGGGGCCGAACTGGCCGCGCGACGCCCGCAGGTCGAGCGACGGCACGGGCGAACCAGGCGCCAAGAGCGCACCGGACTCGGTGTCGCCGGGGACAGGCGTGCCAATGGAGCGCGGCGTGCCCAATGTGGTGCTGGCGTCGCCGAACAGCGAGTCCATCTCTTCAAGACGGACACCACACGTTTCAGGATAGAAGAAGTAGACTACATAGGTCAGCACGTGCTCGCAGCGTGAGGGACAAAGCGCAGTGACAGAAATACATACCGACAACGAGACTGAGAGCACAGAAAAAGGCGTGCACAAGGTAGAGCCGCCATGCGATCCACTCTTGCAGGATCGGCGTCATCTCACCCACGAGCCAGTTGAAGGCCCAGTTGGTGGCTGTGGACAGACTGGCGCCCTTGGAGCGGATGCTCAGCGGCAGAATCTCCGGCGGGTACAACCACGGGATCGGGCCCCAAGAGTAGCCGAATGCAGCGTTGTAGATCATGACAAAGGCCACGACGTAGATGCGAGTGGTCGGTAGATCCAAAAAGATAAAGTACGAGATCAACGAGAGTGATATGCACATGGCCAAGGCACCCGTCAGCAGAATCACGCGGCGGCCCCAGCGGTCCACAATGTACCAGGGCGGGATGGTCGACAAAAAGTAGGTGATACCGTTGATGCCAGTCATCAGCACAGCATTGTGGCCCGCCCAACCGGCAGACTCAAATACGTAGGGTGCGTAATACGAAATGACGTTGATGCCGTTCAACTGGGCCAGAGCCTGCGCGGACATGGCGATCAAGACACGCTTCTTGTACCGGCGGAACATTTCCGAGTACGTACGCTCGCCCTCCTGACGCTGGATCAGCACGTCCATCTTGATCTCGCGGAACTCGTCGCGGGCCTTGGGGTTGTGGATGTCGCCGCCGCCGTAGAGGTTGGCAATAACGACAATGCCCTCCTCGTCGAGGTCGTTGTCGAGCAGCCAGCGGGGGGACTCGACAATAATGAGACTGCCGAGACCGAGCAGCGCACCCATAATGCACTGCATCAGCAGCGGGATGCGCCACGACATGTTGCTGTCGATGAAGCCGCAAAAGTAATCGACCCAGACAGACGTGGTGTAGCCGATAATGTTGCCAGAAAACTCAATGCAGGCCAGCTTGCCGCGGTTGTGGGGCGGCGAAATCTCCGACTGGTACACGGGGACGATGGTAGACAGCATGCCGACACCGAGACCAGCGATGATGCGACCAAGCATCATCATAGCCATAGACGTGGCCAGCGTCTGCAGAGCGCCACCCGTAAAAAATATGATGGACCCGTACAGGATGGTTTTCCGGCGGCCAATGATGTCACCGACACGGCCGACCACGAGAGACGAGATAAAGGCGCCAATCTCGAGGATAGCCACCATGGTACCTACCTCCGCTTTGGAGGGGTTGTTAAAGTAGTCTCTAAAGAAACCGCCTCTGGTAAGAGTGTTAGGAAGGACCATGTCAAGTAGAGGGAGAGTCAATGAGACGGGGGCGGGGGGAGAACCTACGTGATGATGCCAGACATAACACCCTGATCATATCCGAACAAGAACACGCCGAGAGACACGAAAATGCTCGTAAAGTAGCTGGAGTTGGGCGGTTAGCATATTTTCGAGGGCACTGGGCGTCGGGACTGTACAAAAGGACATACATCAGGGGTTTGCCGGTGAGGCCATGGATGGAAGAGGAGCCGCCAGTCATGATGGAAGCGAGGATGCGTTCAACCGCGGAGACGCGACGGACAGCAGTATCGGGGATGCGGATGGCTTCCTTGTCCACGGCGCCAGCGTGGTGACGCCGGTGGGGCGAACTGTCGGAGTCGCTCGCGTCGTCGTAATGGACGCGTTTTGTGCTGCGGCGGGCCTTGTTACCGGCGGCCGAGGAGTGGTTCTGTTTCAAGACACCAGCAAGGGTGTCCTGGTCGATGTTACCGTGAAGGCGGGCACGGACGGCTGGGGCGTTGTCGCCGTCTTCGGCAAGCTGCTCGGCGATATCGGCAGTGTCGAGCCAGGACTCGTCGTCTTCGGAGGAGGAGGAGTAGTCGTTTTCGGAGTAGTCGCCGGTAGAGGAAACGGATTCGCGTTTAAGGTGGCTTCGTCGGGAAGACGAGGCGGCGGGACCGGACCGGGTTGCGGCGGACGACGCGAGGAGGGAGGTCCCCGACTGCCGGTCAGCGTAAGCGCGGGAGGCCGACGAGGCGGAGGAAGCCGAGCCTGAAGAGGAGAGGGCACGGAGAGGAATATTGGACGGCAGTCGGCCCGGGCTGGAGAAGGAAGGAATCTTGACGAAGATGGGGGCTGTGAAGCGGCAGCGCCCGTCCGCGAGTCTTTAAAAGGATATAAAGGGAGAGGGGGGGAGGGGGGGAGGGTAAGGGAAGAAAGAATAAAAAGGGTTGACGGATAGCAGGACGAAGAAGAACGGGTAGACTTTGGCACGGGATGCCCAAGTGTGGGTATAGGCTGCTGCTCGAGGGTGGGGAAAGCGAGGAACGAAGGGGTGGAAACGAATGAATCAAGGCATCAACAGCAGATGACCGACCGGTGCGTGACCTATCTCAGCCGGCTCGCCGATGTGGGTTGTGCAGTGGCAGCGCGTGCGGCGGTGCGGAATGCAGTCATGGAGCGACAGAAACGAAATAAGGATAACAAAATAATTTGAATCGGAAAAAGAGGCTGATGAGAGCTGCGCAGAAAAAGTGTGCTGTTTGTCGGCTTGGCCGTCCTCGGCTTTGCTGACTATTTGGCGATTTAACGGGCCTCAAACGCGATTGGTTCGACGGTTGCGGGTGTCGTACAGTCCACGGGTGGTCTTCCAACAATCGGGCATCGAATGTGTCGGAGTCTTCGAGATGCGAAGGAAAAGGTCACGATGACAAAGTGGCCTCGCAGGAACGAGAGTATACGGAACAAAAACACAACAGCCATAAAAGGAGAAAAAAAAAGGCAACAACTGTCCTGGCAGATAACCAGGAAGGCACGAAGGGGCGGTAATGTTCATCAATATTAGAACAGTGCGGACAGACTGTGCAGTTCGGCCACCTGGGGTTTACACATACTAAAAGCTGGGCGCCGCATACAGTGCTCTTTTGCGTCAGCAAGCCTCGCCACTGTGCTGAAAAAAATAGGGGGCTCCTTCTTAGCGCTCTCCACGCTTGGCCGAAATCCAGACAGGCGCAACGCGGCGCGAGGCAAACTGCCCAGGGTCTGATCAACTTTTTTTGTGTTTTTCTTTTGCTACCCGAGGGTCCCTGAGAATCAATGGAACAGGTGCGATTGAGGGCGCATATTTTGTCGCGGCTGCAGACACGACAAAACGTTTACCTCAGCCCGAAGACACGGGGCACGTGTTATCGTGTGCGTTTTGGACGACGGACGTTCGTGCCTTCCGTCTCTTTGGTCCCAAGTTGCCGGATGACGTAGTTCCTTCCCGGTCTTTGTCGTTTTTCCAGACCAGTGGGGGTGGGTTCGCCGCTATCCAAAAAGGCACGATCAAAACGGGGTGGTGTGCCGACCTGCCAGGGCAGGCGCGCAGAATCGCGCATGAGGCCCCCGCACCGGGCCTTTCCCTTTTCACGATTCACGAGAGCCGACCGGCTGTTCTGAGCCTTTTGTGGCCCTTCATCACAGGCTTTCCAGTCCGCCACTGGGGCCACAGGACGCAGGACTGCTTTCCGGTTATTCTCAAGAGCCGAGGACCAGGGACACAGCTTCCCTACAGGTGCTGCATCTGAGCCTCTTCGCGCCCGCGGGCCGGTTCGTTGTTCGGACAATGCTAGGCGGCAAGGATTCCTTTCCTGGAATTTGCCTTTGAAGAGAGAGTATATTTCCAGATCGATGCTGCTGTCCGTGGTTCCTTGGGCAACTTGGCGAGTTTAAAAAGAGGGCCGAACAGGACACGGACCAGCCGGTCCCATCCCACAGACAACAATATTCACACCATGAACAGAATCCTTTCGAATTTCCAAAAGGCACCAGGGCAAAAGGAACAGTCAAAAATTCTCTCTCGCCGGGAATTGAACCCGGGTCCCGGGCGTGACAAGCCCGTATACTGACCACTATACTACAAGAGATGCCTGTAATCGCCTGATACGATGCCTCGCCGCGTGCCCAAATCGCTTTTCTCTTGGTGTGTGGCTTGGTCTCGGAGGTGCATATTGTAACAGCCAACCGCGGCTGACCAGGTTAGGAAAACTACAGAGGAAAGTTCCCCGGTAGGTTGTCTTCGCAATGAGGCTCATGCTGCACGGCTGCTGTTGCATTCTATAAAAAGAATCAGACGAAGTACAGCGGTCAAGAAGGCGACATTGCGAATAAGGGAAACACCGCTCACTGTGCAGCGAGTCACACCATCAGCCTTATGCGGCCATGGCTTCGTCATCCAGCAGCATCCTTTGCACAGCCACACGTGAGACGGGCTTGACTTTGTGTCCCAAATTCAGTGCATGATAAGCGACGGAGCATGGAACACGAACATGGTGCCGAGACAGGTATTTGCTTCTCAACCCTCCAGGGGCCATTGTGGAATTACGCCTTTCTTGGTGTGTTTCAGGGCGCCTTTTGTGACGGGGGATGATGATGGTACTTTGATGGCAGCACGACGTTTTAAAGTCGAGGACGAGGCAGGCCATCGAGGCCGTATCAAAACGGAGGGTCTGCTGTTCTGATCTAATTCAATTTCAGTCCCATACACAGGAATCGATCAAGCACGACATCCATACCCTGGTACCTTTCGTCTAGATTCGATCTTTGTTTTGTAGGGTCCAAAGTCCAGAAATTGCAAAGCCGAAGATGGCATGGGTAATTCGTTTCAAAACAAATTATTAACACTGCCAAAAAAATACCCATTGCCCCTCTCGAAAAGGAAATTGGATGTGTGAGGCGAGCGAGGAGAAAGGTGCCGGGCACAGGGAGGGTCAACGATGCCACGCGAAATGAAAGCAGGAAGAGAACGATGCTCGTTTGGGCCAATCGTATGCCGAGCTTGTAGTATTTCTAGTGCGTTTGTAACTGCCTCCTTTGGTTCTTCTCCAGATCCTCTCCCTAGCCACCACCCGCGCAAATTAACATCATCTCGTTTCGGGTGCTTTTTGAGGCGGCTCCCTGCCTCGATTTTCGCAAACTCCTTGTCTCGTCTTGTACCGCTGTTGCACTACACGAATTAGTGAATTATCAACGACCGTGGTCCTCTTTTCAAAGGATTCGTTCGTTCATCACAAGATACTTTTCAAATTTGCTAGCCCTACGTCGTACGTGCTGACTCTTCTCCGCGTTGCGATGCGTCTGTGGCTACAACATACTCGACAGTGGCTCCCTGTTTGTCATTTGATTATTGCCTGCCATGGCAGTCCCTTGCTTGACGAAAAGAGGTTGGGAGACGCCTCTTATTGATCTTTGAAGAATGCCAGCGTAACGTGAGAGACATGAGAGAGCTGCTTGTGAGGTTTACCTTTTCTGTGCGGTAGTGCGGTCTGCCCGATAAAGTCAATAACATATACCACATAACCATCGACACTCAGGCAGCGGGGAGACAGATTCGATTGCAATCGCAGAAACAAAAGTAAGTTAGATTGTGATATTAAGAAGGGAGACGTGGTGCACGATACAGAATGAACTCCTGATTTTCTCCTTGGTCACGATGAAATGCGCCGCATTGTATCGGACCATGGAAGCACGGATCGCGGGACGAGGAACAAGGTTCGTGGTTCAGTGCCCGTTCCGTCTTGCGATCCAAAAGACGACTCAATTTGCTGTCATAGATGGAAACGGACCAGACCAGATAAAGGAGCCAGACGTCCAGCTCATCGTTCGTCGTGCAGAACACAAGCGGCCAGCATCGTAGCCAGGTATCCATAGTCAGGTTCACTGGTGCAACCCCCAGACCCAGCCGGCCCGGACTGCCTGGCAGCCCAAGGGATGTGTGATCGATTGGCACAGCTCCCGTTTCGGCGCAAGATGCGACCTTTACCAGTTGGCCTGGCCTTGCATCCCACCACGAGGAGAGACGTCGACACCCAAAGCGCGTTCGACGTGGCGTGCTGCAAAGTGAGCTCCCGTGCTCGCAAAACCACAACACATGGACGATGGCGTTTTTCTCAACTGCTTCTCATTCCCAGGGACTTGATGCTTTTGTCTGAGCCTACAACATCGCGCGGCAGCATCCGTTTTCAGCGCTCACGGAGCAGGGCCGACTGTCTCGGACGCTGCGAGGCTGCCACATTCCAGTCCTGTCGGGCGACAATCGTATCCATACTGGGCCCAAAGCAGTAGGTGTTCATTGTCCCTCAAAGACGGCGCCCAGCGAGTGCGAAATAATCGCACCACTGCCACGGCCGTCTGCTTGGCAAGGAACATGGTCGCCTCCAGCGTATTTTGCTTTCCTCGTATCCATTTTAGCGTGGTCTCCGTTTCGACCCTCTGTGCAGCCACTCTCTGACGAAGCCATTCAGCCATTCTCTGCTAAATGGCAGGAGCAACGGTCACCCGCCCAGCCGCCACAATTGAGGACTCCAGTAGCGCCGTTTTTAGGGAGGGACAAGCCAGCAATGGTGGCTGCGTCAGGAAGGGATTGGCAGCCATCCTGTACCCACCCAAACCAGCAAATGGCTCCAGGGGCAGCCTGCCGCAGGGCCAATCATGGACCTGAAATAGCATGTGGGGCCGATGTAAAAGCGGGTCTACTGTAAAAACTAAGTGGCAGGGCCAGGCACAGCGGAGAGGGAACGAGCATCAAACAAGGTCTGGCGAGCGAACTACACGGTCTTGAACACTAACTTGGACGGATTAATTACACTCATTACACTCTGCACAGCAAAAACCTGCCAGTGAAGTGTGGCAATGCTCTGTTCGTCGAGTGTTTAATCCTCGGCCGTTCATCTCTGAAGCCTTAAAATGAGATTTCCTGATTCCCGCGGGCATGTACTTACGACGTCCTGGGCCACTACTCCGTAGGTCAAGCAGATGGCTGGCGATCGCAAGATGGCGACGATGCTCGCAATTGGGGCCGCTTCCGTCCAGTCTTCTCCTTCCGTCTACATTTTCGATCGAGGCCAGCACTTTTTCCACGTTGTCCATGTGAACAGCTTCCGTTCCATAATAGTCTTTACTCTGCGGCCCGCCTCTCTCCCTCTCTTGCCCTGTAATAACTGTAATAACTGTGTTGCTCCTGCCTTTCTGGGCCAACACGCAGCCCAGAACCCCCAGATCCCACACTCCTTCCCTCACTTAGCCCACTTCCTTCCCCCAAATGTGAGCATTGACACTTAAATTAGCAGATCGGGCAGAGGGCTCCACAGTGCCTATATCTTAGTTTTGCTCGTTGCTGGGGCTTTCCTCTTTTCCTAGGTGCTGCCGAGCTGCCCTTTGTCGTCGCTTCCTTGTTCTCTCGATTTTCCTTCACACACCCACACCCTCCTTCCCATTCTTCCCCTTCCCTCCGTTCTTTCCCTCCCGTCATTCCTCCCACAAAGCATAATTATCTCATTCCCACACGCTTCTCACGAGCGAACGCATACCTCGTCTACTTTCTGGATTCTGGACATTCCCGCCCCACGGCGTGATTTTTCTTGATATTCCCTCGACACCTATAACAGCGCCCCAGCGACAAATTAAAGGACAAAGGCAGCTTCCGTCACTTGGGCGACCGAACACGAGCAGACACACAACCACCGTTACGCCTACGAACAGGGCCGGCACGACACACAAAAGACGACGACATCGACGACATCGACGACAATTGTTGGACTCGACAGTCTCTCGACTCGATCTCTCCAGTCTTACACGCACGGCTTCTCTCACCACGCGTCACAGATCAAACAATTAGCCGCCTCCGCCTTGTATTTTCCGAATCGTTTCGCAACGCAGCAGGACCGAGACAAGCTTCTAGCAACGAGGCTCAGACGCGAATTGTTCCAGGTAGTTTGCTTCCTCGACGTCTACCATCTGGCCTCGTCGGACTCGCACTCTGCTTTTGAATTAAACAGCTCGGCTTTTCACATCAGCGCGCGTTCGCCGACGATCTCGCGAGCCGACCAGCAGAACCGCGTCTTGTGCTGCGCAAGAGCGTGAACGTTCCCTCTCGACACACAACTCTCTCGCCGTCTGTCGGTCATACACACAGTGTCGCACTGCGCGACCTCACGAATTTCGTCGCAATGGGTTCTACACAATTCGGCAACTTTGACGTAAGCTCCTTCTCGTTTCCCTCTCTCACCCTCTCATCGTGCGCGCAGCGAACCAGCTTCTAACCTGTCCTTTCACAGAGGTTCTGTCGCGATTCCACGTTACCAGTGTGCAATGTGCTCTCGCCGTTTCACAACCAGACTGGCCCATGGGGTGGCTGTGAGCTGACGGGAATTCCCCTCAGCGGTGGCCGGAAACTGGGCAATCTGGGTTCCATTATCCTGGCCGGTATCGCCATTCTCGTCTCTGTCTTGTTACTACTGCGGTCCGACCGCAAAAAGGCGGCTGTTGGGCGGAGAGAGATGCAGCTGTTCCTGCTCGGTTACATTATCATTGAGATTTGCGAAATCTTCACTGTGGGCGAGTTCCCGCTCAGCGGCACCGTTCGCGTTGTAAGTCCTGCTCCGTGCCACCCTGTTTCGATCCCATTTCGGTGCTAACAACAAAACAGGCATTCACCGGCATTCATCTCGGCTTCATCATCGCAACGACATGGATCCTCGTGTACAACGCCATCATCGGCTACCAGATCATTGACGATGGCACGCCGCTCTCGCTTGGCGTGGCTGCGATTTCGGCCCTCATCCTCCTCATCGGCACTGGCTACATAACCCTCGATACCGGTTTCCAGTGGACCGGCCACTTCGACTCGTCCCTCAACGGCCCGCCCGACGGCACCAACCGCAACATTGCCCTCTACGTGCTCTACCAGCTTGTGCCATTGGTCTTCCTCGTGGCCTTCTTCGTCCTCGAGGCCTACCTGGTCCTCAGCGTGCTCGGCGAGACCCGGCCGCTTCTGTACCTCACGGCTGCCGCACTCCTGTTTGCCCTGGGCCAGATCTTCAACTATGTCGTCAGCCCACACATCTGCACGGGCACGAATGGCAAAATTGACGGCGCGCTTTTTGAGACGCTCTTCACCCTACTGTCTGTGGTCATGGTCTGGATCTTCTGGTCCAGCATCACCGAGGACGACTGGCCGATGCCCCCTTCGTACACATAATTGTCCCGGACCAAAACAGTAACGCAGCAAACGATCTTTTGGGCAAACCGGTGTCGGGAGTTTTGGCTTCCTAATTCTTTCTTGCGCGCTCCTTTTGCGGATGTTGATCGATCTTGGGTTTGATCTCGATCTCGATCTTGCTATTAATTTTACCACTTCTTACATTCGTTTGGCATTTTAACGGAACATATCAACGGGGCCGAGTACAAACATGGTGTGCCCCGGGGCGCGAAATCGGGTTCATTCTTTTTTGGCTTTTGGACGACGAGGGGACGGGTGTCGGGTCATGACTCGCAGGGTTGTCGGATATCTAATTCATCCTAATCCTCACACATACGACAACGACTGAGCAACAGGCCACCGCGGAGGAGAGGAGAATAAGAAATTATATGTCACCGGACAGGAGGAGGACGAGATGAAGACTGCGCCGAGCTCCTCACACAACCGCAAAGACAAAGACTCGACGTGGGAGAGCATCTCGTCACAGCGGCATCGGAGAACAGACCACTGCGACAGCTGAGCGAGTGTTCAACGCTCGACCGAGCAAGTGCTTCGGTAGGAGACAAAACGAGATGGGCTTTTGGATACCGGGCCTTCACAGCGGCGGAATGCCCGCGTTCTTGAGTCTATTTTGGCTATCTGAGTTTTATGGTTTTGTATTTGCTTTCCGCACTTTGATTTTTAGTATACCCTTTTTTTGGACTAGGTTGGTCTCGCTTTGCGAGTCGAGTCCAACACCCTCATAGAAAAATATATACCGACAGCTTTTCAGCAATACTGGTTTCGCCGTGGTAACTCGGTTCGTATATGTAGTTGTGAGAAGGTCGTGCGTGATGTCACAGTATTTACGTGGCTTGATGAACGCAGCATTGAAGGCAACTTTGTCCAAAGCGACGCCTGTGATTGGCTGAAAGTTGCCACCGCAAGGCTATGTGTATTGCAGTGCTCTGGTGGACATTTAGCACAACGGGGGGAGGCGCCAGATGAGCTAAGAGTGCTGGGGAAAGGGCAGAAAGGCGAACCTCCATATTTTCTTTCCAAACCACCACCAAACGGATCTTATCCAGCAGCCTCGTTTGCATGACGAAGACAGCCAACCGAACTAAACGCTCGTTTGCCACCTCCTGTTCGACTTTTAACCTTCCTATCTACCATCGACCACCGAACCCAACGCTGTGTTACTTGACGGCCCTTGTCGAGCTCGATGTAGCTTCAATCGAAACCAAGCGAAAGAAGCTCTTCGCTGCCGATCATCTCAAGCATACGTTGTAGAAGCGTCACACTTCTTTCAACTACATTCCTTGCTCACTGCCGTCTGTCACTTATACATCCAGCAATTGCCACACTGTCAGGCCTCGACTATCTCCCTCTTCCCACTTCCCGTTCTTCCCTCTCCCTTCCTTCACCCTCCCCCCTCCGTCTGAGGGGAGGGGGAACTTACTGTTCGACAGGGTTGACAGGGAGCTGGATATAGTACGCTGGTGGGACGACCGAGGACGACCGAGGACGACCGAGCCCCGACATTTGTACCCTTTCGAAATCATAGCCCAATCGAGTTACGGAAGATGGCAGACTCGGACGGCGAATACGTGGAAAACCAGTCCGACGATGGCGGCGGCGGTGACGACCACTATATGACACTGGAGCGAGGCGAGGACCGTCAGCCAGCCGGCCAGCGGCATGGACGGCACCTGCAAGTACCAGGCGCGCACGCTCCAAGGCGACCGGGCGGTCCTACTAGCAACGGCCGGCCGCATCAAAGTCAAGGCCCGGGCCAAGGACAAGGGCTAGGACAAGGACAGCGGCAGACGCGGCGAAAACAGACCCGCCAGAAGCAGCAGGCGTCATGGGAGACGGTCAAACGGTCCTGGGACACGGTCGTCGAGGCTGCCGACGGCCAGATCGTGGGCATCGAGCTGCTCGAGGCGGCCGAGAAGCGCCGCCGCGTGCTGCGCGACACCACGCCGTTGCAGCGCGGCATCATCCGCCACATGGTTCTCGTGCTCGACATGAGCATCGCCATGGCGGCCCGCGACTACCTGCCCTCCTGCCACCGCGTCGCCCTCAACTGCGCGGCCACGTTTGTGCGCGCCTACTTTGAGCAGAACCCCATCTCGCAGCTCGCCATCATCGCCATGCGGGACGGCGTGGCGTTGCGCGTCAGCGACATGGGCGGCAACCCGGCGGAGCACCTCGAAAAACTGCACGAGTGGGACAATGTCGAGCCCCAGGGCCACCCCAGCCTGCAGAACGCGCTCGAAATGTGCCGCGGCGCTCTGTTCCACACGCCCTCGCACGGCACACGCGAGGTGCTCGTCATCTTTGGCGCGCTGCTCTCGTCGGACCCGGGCGACATCCACGACACCATTGGCGCTCTCCTGACCGACCGCATTCGCGTGTCCATTGTCGGCCTGGCCGCCCAGGTGGCCATCTGCTCGGAGATCTGCACGCGCACCAATGGCGGCGACGACCGCTCCTACAATGTCGCGCTGCACGACGTGCACTTTCGCGAACTCTTTCTCGCCGCAACTACACCACCAGCCACCCAGGCGGCCGCGGACCAGAGCAACCCGGCCAGCCTGCTCATGATGGGCTTCCCGAGCCGCGCCATCGCCGACTCCCACGTTGCCGGCGGCGGCGGTCTCAGCGTGTGCGCCTGCCATAACAAACCCGTGCGCGAGGGCTATGCGTGCACGCGCTGCCGCACCAAAGTCTGCCGGCTGCCCGCCGAATGCCCTGCCTGCGGCCTGACGCTGATCCTCTCCACGCATCTGGCCCGCTCCTACCACCATCTCTTCCCGCTGCGCAACTGGTCCGTCGTGTCCTGGGTGGCTGCCGCGGCCGCCGTGCGCCAGCGCGGCGCCACGGCCTGCCACGCCTGTCTCGTGCCCTTTCCCGACCTGCCGCCGCCCGAACGGCTGCGCGAACTGCAAGCGGCCGCCGATGCCGATGCCGATGCCGATGCCGGCGACAAGGAGAGGTCCGGGGATGCGGGCGCAGACACCGCCGGTGGCCGTCCAACACAGAAGCAACAGGGGACGGCCGGCGCCGCGCAGATTGATGCCTCCACGGACCCGGCCGCCGCGGCCCTCAACAACCAGCTCAAGGGCGTCAGCGAGAGCAGCCGCTACGCGTGTGAGGTGTGTGGCCACCACTTTTGCATCGACTGCGACGTGTTTGCCCACGAGGTCGTGCACAACTGCCCCGGCTGCCAGAGCGACACGCGCCCGCCTGCCGAGAAGGAGGCCGATGCACGCGCCCGTGCGGCCGAGGTGGCGGCGTTTGCGGCCGCCGCCGCCGCCACTGCCGCCGCTGCTGCCGCCTCGGCCAACTCGGCCGCAGTTGCTGCGTCCGAGGCCGGCGCCATGGCCAACTCGGCGTCGTCATCGTCCTCGGCGGCTGCCATACGGCCAAAAACGAAGATTTTACTCAAGGCGCGAGGGTCGGCAGCGGCAGCGCCCGCCCCGGCAGAGGGCATGGTGATTGACTAGACACTGCACGCTGCGGGGGGGTTGGGGATTTGGTTGCTCTCCGTACCCTACGTTATACCTCGATGCCGACATATAAAACAGAACTGAACTGTCTTTGGCTCGTTGATTTTTTCATTTACACAAAGACGACATTGAACAAATAACTGTCAATAGAGACCGAGGCCATGAACAATCAGTTGCCAACTGAACTTTGTACCAAGCACCTGTCTGGCAGAATTTCCCACACGTCCATGGTGCCTCGTCTTGTCCTCTTGATGTCACTCTCGACCTGGCAAGCACAGGAGGTTGCTAATCTACTTGTCTCGTTGACGGTGATGCTGAATCAAAACGCAATCCGCGGCCCCGTGGTCCATTCTTACAAAAGGCAAGGACGCGGTATGCCTCGTCACCAGTTGCTTTTGATGTGTTGCGCACGTCGCGCGTCGGGACAGGACTCGTGAACCGTTTGTTTCTCGTGACCAGGGCAGTGCGCGACCATTTTGCTACTACGCTGTGGCCAATAAGCTGCTCGAGGACGTATGTTGGGGATTCCAAATGTCTCAGATTTCCATTCAAAGCAAGACGGAGCGCTGTAGGTGCACCACCTTTGAGGGATACGAGATTGGGTGTCGACGTCCCCAGCCTGCTCGGCACCAACGGACATGCAGAGGCAAATAGGGGCTGCAAGTTTGGATGGTCAGGAGTCTGTGTCTTTCTTTTTTTTCTTCCCTTTTATACCATTTTTGATGATTTTTTTTTTATTTCTTCCAGTTCCACATAGCCAAAGGAGGAACACGCAGGCACAGGCTCGCATCTCGTCTCTGCTCACCGAGAATTAGGTTGTCACACACCCGGTTGTTCCTCATGTACCAAGGTCAGGTGAGAGGTTTCTTGCCCATTGCCGAGATCACCGTGCGATGTGCGTACTATCACCTCCCATCACACCTCATCATCGTCTCATCACACCCATATCACACGCCACAACCACACTGAGAGAAAGCCTGTTTTCCCAAGTCCTTTGACGCCCCTGTGTGCCTTCACTCCAGACCCTAGTTGGACAGCGTGCCGTGGGATGGAAGCGATCTGGTACCCTGGACTTGGGATGTGCGTCTATTTCGCTTGACTCTGAGCCGGTGTGGCCAACGGACGTGACGTGAACAGACATGAAGTGGCAATGTACAATGCACAACGGCGAAAGAACAAGAGAGAAACGATGATGTCCATTTGCAATGACTCCATCGAATCGCGATGATTGCACCGGGAATAATGCAAAGGCAGCCGCAGACAACATGGCGCTGTTTCCTCGCACATTCGCTCCAGAGTTGAACGGGATAGAGTCGTTTCCTTGCTTCAACCTGCAGACGTGAACGCGCACGCCCTCCATCCGTAACAGAAGCAGTTCCCAGAGCACATGGCGGGGGCATCGTGACACAGCGGGTCGACGTGGAATATTTCCTACTCCGAAAGACATGTCCGCTCTCATGCCGGGGTGGGCATCGTTCACGGCACTCTGGCTGCACCGGCGGCCGTACCGCAGTATTTCGCAGGCGGTCTGTCGGCGTAAACGGTGGCGATGGCGAGATGCCCCAATCGAGCGACGTGCGTCCTGCCTTTGTCCACATTGACGTTCCCATGACCAGCCACAAACTCACCTTTAATCACACGCACATCCAGCTGAGACGGACAGACATTAAGAAGCAAACAGTCAACAGTAAACACTGCAATGCAAACAAAGACAGAACAAGTAACAATCACCGATGCAACATGAGCGAGGTATGTGAGATGGACAGCGCAAAATTCTCGACAAACCCTCATCTCCTACTAGACTCCGTGATCTCCGTCCATGCTTCATGTCGTATTTGACCCCGTCTGCCCGTCTCGCCAGTGTCAGTTTCTCCTCCACCCCGTCGTGATGAGCGTCGCATGGTCCCTGTTTGTCAAGTCTCCATACGGGACAATACCCAAACTGGTATGGCGCTCCTTCTAGTCTCTTCTCGCACCTTTGCCACACGCCTCCCATGCGGATTTTCATCATAATCCAACGCTGCTCCATTCGCGATGCTGCCTGGAGGAAATAGTACGGAGTATTGCGGAGTACATTGTACGTCGCAGAGATGAGAGGCACTGACAAATATGGAGCTTGGCCATTCTCCCGCGGATCGACAAGGGGGCTCACAGGGAAGACAGCCAAACAAAGCAAGGCTCACGGTCTTTTTTTGAGAGCACACCTGTTGAACATTTTGTGCCTTGTGTACAGTGAGGTATGTTGATGGGACAGCATTTGCATCTATGTCCGCCTTTTGCGTCGTCCGTTTTGCGTATCATCAATGCGCAATTTTGCAATATTGCCTCGCGACAGACAAGGCTCCACGGATGCTTGCAATGTGCAGCAGGAAGTGTCAGTGCTCGTTCAAGAAACCGCAAACTCTTTGCATTGACCAATGGGCAATTGTCTGGCGGATCAAGGGGACAGAATGGAGACCAATACTACGTGCACAATATTGGCATGTCGTTGCATTACACAAATCCGACGAGCAGGGAAGTGCGAGGTATATACGAAATATCATAAGGTAGGAAAGCTGGAAAGTCCAAGTCGACAGTGACAAAGCCAAGGGCTGTCGGGAGCAATTGGCCTCGACAAAGTTCGTGCGAATACATCTGAGGTTTGCATTCAACTTGTCAGTGGCAAATGTGTTTTACACGTCTTGACGTTACTTTTCACCACTTGTCGAAACAAGGAAGACACACAGACCACAGAACAGGCTTTGAAAGGAGGAGGGGTGCAATGTTCTTTTGTCGGTGCACCGGAGACGCATTGTTGCGCAGCCCGCGACAATGGGCGAGACGCCCAGGCCAAGAGGGCAAATGACACGGACCATTCATTTCCAATTTCATTTCCAATTCCACTACGCAGCAACCCAAGGCGAGTGACGTTTCTGCGTCGTCAATTCGGGAGAAAGGCACATACTTCGTAGACGGCGTTAACAACCGGTACAATGAAGAGGAGAAACACAGACACATGCAGGCGGCAAAGAGGTAAGGATAAGGAAGGCCGTTGAAGATAAATAAACACTGGAGAAAAGAAGCGAAATTGCTCAAAAAAAAAGGAAGAATACATGCACAGTGCACGGTTCGCGATGCAGTCTGTCGTTTCTTGCCTATTCTTCACGTTTCGTTCTTCTGCAGCTTTTTGCTTCATTTCGGAAGAAAGACTGATCTACAACCTTAAAAAGAACGGCAGCACACAAAAGCACAGATGCACAATGCACGTACAATAAACACAGCCCACCTCTCCCTCTCCCACGGACACGGCGGACACGGGCGGAGGACAAACGAAAGTAATAGTCGTCGCAGATAACACATGCAAGGGGAGCGAAAAGCGCCAGGCCGCCAAGGGACGCTCGGGCGACACAGACAAGCAAAAAAGCTGGTTCGGGACCTTGATGGTTGTTGCACTATTCCGACGCAGCAAAAAAAAAAAAAAAAAAAAAAAAAAAAAAGAAGACAGAAACGGGATAAAGCACGACATCGTGCGGGACGGCTGAAGGCACATTGTGTGCCGTGTTGGTACGTTTATGGTGAAGAGATGGCCCCAAGGCAAATCAGCATAGATGAAGGACGCTCTCATCAATACGGCTGAGATTGGGGGCCGAAAGCGATGGAAAGAGAGAGAGACAAAAGGCAAAAGACGAGCGCAAAACGATAAGACACGAAACCTGGGTCCTGCAGGGAAGATCAAACTGCGTGCCCTTGAGAGTGCATGGCCAGAGGAATCGATTGGACAATGCGAGCACCTTGACCTAACGAGAGGTGTGTTGTGTGTTGTGTGTTCCTGTGTTGAGTGGTCATGTTCTTATCTTGCCTTTGGTCCTTGGTTTCTCAGCATAGCCGCGTTTCGCTCGACAACTTGCACGAGAAGGCCGTAAAGCGACAGGACGGAGCAAGACGTCGTCGATGCTGTTCCTCGTCGGCTTCTTTTTGCCGAGTCATTGCACACTGTATGGACCTTATCGCCAAGGCATCATCGCCAAGGCATCATCGCCAACATCTCCAAGCGAGTTCGCCGTCCATCGGCTGAGCACGATGCAAGATGGACGCCTCGTTGGCCGAAAAAGGCAGTGGACGTACTCTGCATATTTCTTTTCGGTGGCATCTCGACACCATTACCCTTTCAGCTTGCTCGTCGAGTCCATGCATTGCCTGTTTTGGCCGCATGCCTGCTGGATTAGGAAAGGTTTTCTTCTTCTTTTTTTATTTTTTTTATCTTCTCTTCTTTTTCTCCGTTTCTTCCCAACTTCAGCTGCAATCTCCCAGCGCTTTTCTTTCAGCTCCAGCGTCGAGCGCGACGCAAATCATACTTTGTACAGAAGGACCAGGCCGCAGACGCCAAACCTCGAAAAGCGACGTTGTGTACTTCGTACGACTGTCGATTTTCGGTTTTCAGCACTTTCGTCATCGACTCAGCTTTTCCTCTTTGGGGTTTTCAGGCGGCTGACGGCGTCTCTTCAGTCTTGGGGATCCCGCCAATCGTTGCTGCTGAGACTGTTGCATATGACCTTGATGCAAATAGCGTCGGAGCCGATCTTTGCTGTTTTCTTTTCTCTTGTTTTGTCCGGCGACAAGACGCTGTAAATGGCTCACGATACGAAGCAAAGTCACCGAACGCAGAAGGGGAAAAGGGTGAGATGCACACTGCACGCTGGGGCCATGCTCATTTCTGAGAGCATTCCGTCTCGAACGCTCACATCTTACCTTGTAGAATCACGCAAGGCAAATGTGAAAAAGCGAGTGAGATAACAAAATAACGCCATGGCTCTTCACGACAGTCGCATGTGAAGATGATAACAAACCGACGCATCGTCTCACCGAAAGATGCAAAGCAAAAAGGGTGGTTCGTGCCTGGTGCGGCAGGGCTGTCAAACGTGAGAAAGAGTCAGAAAAACGAGCAGACGCAGAGGCCGATCCAAAGTGCGACCGCCCCTTGTTCCTTGCAGTGACAGATGTTTGAATGGCGTTTCTGA